GTGTCTCTGTGTCTCTGTGTCTCTGTGTCTCTGTGTCTCTGTGTCTCTGTGTCTCTGTGTCTCTGTGTCTCTGTGTCTCTGTGTCTCTGTGGCTCTGTGTCTCTGTGTCTCTGTGTCTCTGTGTCTCTGTGTCTCTGTGTCTCTGTGTCTCTGTGTCTCTGTGTCTCTGTGTCTCTGTGTCTCTGTGTGTCTGCGTGTCTCTGTGTCTCTGCGTCTCTGCGTCTCTGCGTCTCTGCGTCTCTGTGTCTCTGTGTCTCTGTGTCTCTGCGTGTCTGCGTGTCTGTGTGTCTCTGTGTCTGTGTCTGTGTCTGTGTCTGCAGGCAGCCTTGAGCATGCGGATCTTGCGACCCACATGCAATTTTCTTCGAATTGGTAGCCGGAAGTGCACAGAACTACTGAGGGTGCAGTCGACTGAAGGGAAAAACAATCTGACAGTCAAGGACTTAGGCAAGCTTGCGTGGCCAGGCAGAAATGCGCGCCGCACAGGAGGCCTTCGAGGCAGTCTGAGTAGTTGGCCAACGCGCTGTGAATTGCCTGGTCGTTTCCTTGTTTTAGACATTTTCCTTCGTTTCTTTCGGATTTTCCTTCGGTTTGCTCAGGGCGGGGGGGGGGGGGTGGGGGAGTCGTTCATATATGGGCGTTGTTCTAAACGCCTCTTCGTGTTTAGTTGGGCCATATAATTGTTGCCTTCGTGTAACCATGGTGCCAAAAACCAGCATGGCGCAAAGCTGGGCGAGCTCAAGGGCTAAGGATCCCACACTCTAAAATCAGGCCGTCTGCTAGAACTATATCCAGGCGCTCAAAGCTTCAAGCTCTAGAGTCGTCTATTACTTCCAGTACTAAGCTCGTACTAGGAAACAGTCCAGCCAGCTTCTGGGAACATGGCTTCTATAGTACATAGTACAACCCCAGAAAACCTTGTCGGTTCTACGTTTTGTAGCTGGCATGTTTGCCGGCATGGCCAAACGCCAGCACGGCGCAAGGCGGCGCAAGGGCGAGGCGCAAGGGAACCCTGCGGCCTTAGGCTTGGCACTAGAATTTAGAACAACATCCATATTGCGTCCATGCCCAAAACACTGGTAACTACAGCGTTTCGCTTTTTTGTACAACATACTGTACAAGGATGTGGAACAAGAAAATCTGCCACACTGTCACAAGCGTCCATGCCTTTCGCGACCATGCCGAAAACACTGGTAATTACAGCATTTTATGGCCAGAACACAGTTGTCTACAGCGTTTTCGCCTCCTTCTACAAGATGCTGCACAAGGATGTGGAACACGAAAATCTGTCACAAACATTTACCTTGCACTAAGAAATCCCCAAACATGCTGTCCCAAAAAGAATAGCCTCGGTAAAAACTCACAACCATGCTGTCCCAAAAAGAATATAGTTTTTGGAACCCCCTAAAAACAGCTTTTCTGCTCCGTCACTACGCACGACGTGTCGCGCAGAGCCCGTGCCCAGTCAAAATACAGCGCGTGAACCGAGTAGTTTGCAGGGCGTGTGTGTGTGTGTGAAGCCTTGGGCATGTGGATCTCGCGACACCGCATTATTCTTCGAAATAGTAGCCGGAAGTGACAGTCAGAACTACTGAGGGTGCATTGGGGTGGCAGTCAGTCGACTGGAGGGAAACAATCCGAAATTCGAGGGCTCAGGCAAGCTTGCGTGGCTTTGTAGAAATGCAATCAGCGTGCGGAGCTAATGAGCCATCCTGGCAGCAGGTCACTCGCGCACGACACCAAAAATTCAAGAACAGAGCGCCTTGGCCAGAACTTCTTTGTTTTTGTCGGATGTCATAGCCAGCATGCAGGGCTCTGCACTCCGGGGGGAAGTGCCGCGCACCAGTCTGTCTCAGACCAAGGTGCCAGAGTACATGAAGACTCTTTGCCTTAAGCACTGCTTCTACACGCCCACCATCGCGCATCGCTGAGGTGGAGCGGAACCGGCAAGCCCAGAGAGACCACAAAGCTCGCCAAAAAGCACCACGCCGAACAAATTAACGAGGGAGTGGGCTTGTGCTTGGCATATATGGATTCTGACAAAGCGTTTCACGTTGTGAAGCTTGAGCTTCTGAGCTTTGACTCCCTTACATGTCACATGCAAATGTTATCCGGGTGTCAGCTGTCGCATAGCACAGGCTGGGCTCACTTTGAAGCCCCGTGGGCGCAACGGCCAACCTCCAGCTATAATGGCTGTTGGTTTTGTTAACGACGCTGAGGCCGGAGGTCAGGTTTAGTGTCTCAAGGTTAGAGCTTGGGTGCACCCTGCCACAGTTGCTGTAGCTGGGGCTGGGGAAGTCTTCGGAAGTTCACCAGGTATTTGAAAGCTGGAGACCTACAGCTGTCAGTTTCATGCTACCTGATACATGCATTTGGCGCAAGCGCTTACCCTGAGGCCCTTACGGTGGAAAGGAGCTGTATAGGAAGAATGGGTCAGTGCGGCTGTGAAGGTTGCAAGAAATCATACCCTGAAACCTACTAGCCCCTTATAGCTTCAATCTGATCGAAATGGCCTAGGCTATCAGTGGTTTGACGATAAAAGATAGTGAAGCCCTTTCGAGCTCGTTAAAGTTGCATGCGTGCTGCATTTGTTTGTAGTCTTGACATAAAAAAAGCCTCCCAAGAATTCCTGCCTTCCAGGCATCTTCAGCGGCATCGCCAGCAGCTCCGGCAACGCAAGCTGCTCCCGATCTGCCGCTGCAGGAGAGCCCCTGCCCTTCCATCACTTTCTTACCTTGCAATTACCGTTAAGGCCAAGGTACCCTGAACCATAAACCATAGACCGTGAACCCTAATACCCTAAACCCTAAACCCTCATAGTTCGTTCCAAACTGAAGCCTGCAACCACACCCATAAACCATAAACCCAAGACTTTCAGCAGACCTTCGTCTGCTTATGGGGTTCTTAACTTAAGGGAGGGGGGTATGTAACCCAAGGTGTACTCCCTAAGGCTCCCTCCCTAGGTTCCCCCTAAACCCTAAAACCTAAACCCTACACCCCCCTAAACCCCCCCATCCCCCCCCTCCCTTAAAGGACCCTATAGTCTGTCACAGCCGTGTTTTCCCCGTCGCTCATGCCGGTAAGACACTGAGGAGCTGCAGACTGCGGATCAGGCCTCATCAGCGGCTTTCAGTATGGTCTAGGGTTTAGCGTTCAGCGTTGAAGCTTTCGGGTTTAGGGATCGGGTTTAGGGCGTAACAAGCACAGGCGTCTCTTGCAGCTACAGCAACCACAATCACAACTACCACAGCCGCAAGTGCAACAACCACAACGACGATGACGAGGACGACAACAACGACAACACAACAAGAATAAAAGGAACAATAATCAGAATAAGAAGACATTCACTTCAACAACGATTACAAACTACTCTAGTACTACCAGGGGGACTCCCGTTATTTGACGGTGTGTTTTTCTTCACGTATTTACACTATGCAGCTTTCTGGATGTTTTGCTATCTTTGCTTCTTCATGTTTCGGTGTTGCTGACCAGCAAAAACATGCATATTCCAGCGAGGTTGTAGTTGTTTTTTTTTTTTCAGGTTTTCGCACAAATGGATGCTTTTAAACTTTTTGCTGTCACAGCTATTTCGTTCTTTCACTCTCGCGGCTTCCTGCTGTTTCCAAAACCCAAAACCATGAAGTTCAGGCCCAAAGCAAAAGGAAGCTGCAGGAAACCCAGAGACGCAAATAACGAATTAACCTTGACACAACCACTGTAGTACTGCTATAGTATAGTAGTTGTTGCACGAATCATGACGAGCAATTGCTAATGGCTGTCAAATTCACACTGCTGCATGCTAGTACGACGACGCGAAACACCACCACCACCACGACAACGGCCCGGAGGATGACAGTCACAACATTCGGCGACGCCAGCTCGCGCCAGCTCGGGGCCTACCTAGAGCGAGCCAAGGTCAAAAACGTCAGGTCAAATCCGTACCCTAAAATATGTCAAGTCCAACTACAGCAGAAATTCCTCGGTTCCAAGAAATGCTGTCAGGAAGAAGCTGGTGGCGATCAACCTGCAGAGCTCGGGGCTAAGGTTCTCCGCGCTGTTGTGCGTAATTGAGAATGCCCAAACAAGGAGGGCCTATTGTTTTAGTACCTTTGTTTTTGGATGATTTTTTTTTGTGGTCCGCGCTTTGACGCATGCCCATGCCTGCACGGCCTAAAAAAGGGGGGGTTGCAGGGGGCGCACCTCCACCCCCCCTTTGCACGATGGGTTTGTAAGGGCTTCATATACTTTGACGCATGCCTGCACGGCCTAAAAGAAGCGGGGGGTTAGGGTGGGGGCAGCCCCCCATCTGCAAGCACAATGCTGGCACGATGGGTTTGCAAGGGCTTCATATGCTTTGACGCATTCGTGCACGGCCTGAAAAAAAGCGCGGGGGTTGGGACGCAGTGCCCCCCATTTGCAAACACAATGCTCGCACGATGGGTCTGCAAGGGCTTCATCTACTTTGACGCATGCCTGCACGGTCTAAATGAAGCGGGGAGTTAGGGCGGGGGCAGCCCCCCCCCCCCCCCCCCCATTTGCAAACACAATGCTCGCACGATGGGATTGCAACGTACGGTTTTTAGTATATATATATATATACTATATATATACACTATATGTACATATATACATATATGCTTCTCTCACCCCCAGGAGATCTACTCTTTTTGCATACTTTTACTATCCAGAATCCCTTCCGATCTAGTCCCTCGTAACAATAACCGATCTTGAATCAACCCTAAACCGAACCGGCAATTAAGCCGGAAATAATGAACAAGTATTTGCTCACAGTATTCTCGCGTCCCCGGGGCTTGCAGCCGCATCACCTTATGCGCTCGAATACTTCCTAGCCTTATGGTTCGAGGCTTCTCCAGTATCTGCATTTGATATGCAATACATATACCCATTCTACTTTTCCTTTGCATTTCCACAGGAGGCACGGCCTACAAGCATAGGCAGAAGTCTATGGGATTTCCGGATTAGGATTTAAGCCTCAAGGCTTATGGGGTATAAGGTTCTATTCCTATAGAGTTTTGCGTTATAAACCCTATATGCTTTACGGCTTAAGGAAAACAGAGATGTGGTTAACATAGTTTATGGTTACGTTTTTGCAATGCCCTGAACCTTAAACTCTAAACCTTTAGCCCCTCATAGCGTTTAAACCCTGAAGGGCTAACCCCGATAGGGTAGATAAACCCTGTAAAAGCCCTAACCCTATAGGGGCCCTAGGGTTTAAGGCTTAAACTAGTTTGAATGCCCAAACCTAAGTTTAAATCCCCAGACAAAAAAGCCTTGTAGGGCTTAACGGTTTGAATGCCTAAACCTGATGTACCTAACGTCTGGGCATTTATACCTTCAGCGTTATAACCCTAAACCCTATGCTTTAAGGCTTAAGGAAAATAGTAGAGGGGTCAAATCCCTGATGGTTTGGGGTTACGTTTTTGCAATGCCCTCAACCTTAAACCCTGAACCTTTAACCCCTCTAGGGTCAAAACCCTATAAGGCTACCTATGGGCCCACCCCCGAATAGGGTAGACAAACCCTAAAAAACCTAAACCTTTAAACCCTTGAGGCTTAAAGGTTTTGAACCTCAACCTTTAAACCTATAGCGTTCAAAAGGTAAGCTATTCGGTTTAAATACCTTAGGGGCCCTATAAGGATTAAGGCTTAAGCCAGTTTGAATGCCTAAACCTAGGTTTCAATCCCCAGGCCTTAAGCCTTTAACGGTTTTAATGCTACCTAAGGTCTGGGCATTTATACCTTCAGCGTTATAACCCTAAACCCTATACGCTTTAAGGCTTAAGGAAAACAGCAAAGGGGTTAAATCCCTGAAGGGTTTCGGGTTGTGTTTTTACAATGCCCTAAACCTTAAACCCTGAACCTTTAACCCCTGTAGGGTTAAAACCCTATAGGGCTAACCCCGATAGGGTAGATAAACCCTTGGAAAGCCCTAAACCTTTAAACCCTTGAGGCTGAAAGGTTTTGAGCCTAAACCTTTAAACCTATTAGCGTTTAAAGGTATCCTCTTCGGTTTAAATGCCAAACCCTACAGGGGCCCTATAGGGTTTAAGGCTTGAACCAGTTGGAATGCCCAAACCGAGACCGCGGTCGGAGGAGTACAGGACCAGCAGTCCAAGGGACCAGGGGACCAGCAGACCCGGGAACCAGGGGGCCACAGAAAAAAAACAGACACAAAAACAAACACGTACTTAAAATTAGGCCTCCTGAAGGTCACAATGGTAGTAAAGAACAATAAGTGCGCCCATAGTAGTCGTGGTAGCAGGCGCAGCAACAGCAGCTGCAGCAACACGAAACCGTGGCAGACAGTGATTATTGTCTCAAGTCGGAACTCGGAATGCTCAGGTGATGGCTTTGCTGATCCCTGCGGATTCGGGGCGGTGAGCAGCAAGGGGTTGCAGTGCTGCAATGTAGCCTAGGTTGACTTGCTTACATGCAGTGCCGGGTGTGCTACAAAAGAGCATTGGACGCTGGATCATCCGGGCAGCCTCCATACCAACTCAGGCTGCTGTGAGCCAAAATTGGAGTCGTCCGAAAAACGTGTGTGCGTGGGTTCGTAGGTGCGTGGGTGTGTGGGTTCGTGGGTGAGTGTTTATACGCTCTCTGTGGTGACAAGGTTTTCTTGTTCTTGGGTCCTCGTCGTATTGTAGCGAAAAGCAACTGAGAACATATATTAGCAACCGAGCGTTTGGATGAAATCTGCCCATGCATGTCGGCTCACACGCACGCGATCTTGAGCTCTAGCACCCGAGATTTGAACTTGCTGAGCGTGCCGAGTCCTGAGTGCACTCAGAAGGTATATAAGGTCTGCTCCTCGGGATTGTGGTCGGGCTGCGAGGGCAGATGCAGGCCGCAGTACCTGACACAGAGGCCGCCCGGATTCGCCAATCCCCCACCCTAAACCCTCACATGGCCAAGCGCGTTGGCCTCCCGAGCCGACTCTGCAGCTTCCAGCGAAATGAGATCTGAAAGGCCGCATCCAGAAGCCACTGAAGGCTTGACTGCATGATGTGGCGATTCAGGCGGTGCAAGAAGGAATGCGGGAGTATTAGTGAGCAATGTGACGAAATGAGCTGCTCGCGCGGCAAGCTTCGCGATTTCGTCTTCGGGCTCGTGCAGGTTCGTGCGGTGGAAGCCGCTGGTCACAGAAGGCGGCAGAGGACTCGGCCGCGAAGCCTGGCCCCTCACGTCATTTTGCCACCAGACCACCAAAAACCAAAATATGCCGGCCCATGCTCCTAGAGTACAGCTCCCCTCCAACTTTTCCAGCCTCATCAATTGGTCAAACGCCAGCTACAGATCCAAAACGACATTGCAGCAATGCGTCGCTATTGAGCGTTCAAGTCAGTTTTCTCCATGCGCAAATGCATGTTTTACTACAACCTTCGTTCAATCAAAGTTGAGAGGATGCCGCTTGGAGCATGGGACGGAATCGATGTTTTTGTCGATGAGGAGGAGCATGCTAATTAGTGAGGATGCCTAAGACGATCCCTGCAACTCTGCCCAGTGCAGCCCTATCTTTCTTTCAACCGCGAAAAAACTGGCTTAACCGGCTACGCATACTCAAGAGAGCTGCGCAGCAACATCGAGGTGCAAGGCTTTTTGGTTGCGACCATGTCATGCACTTACTATCTCGCGAGGAAGAAAACTGTGCGATGACGTCAGCAGTTTTCTTTCCCAAACTACCATGATTGAAGCCTTTGAAGACTGCGAGCCTGAAAGTCTTGGAAGCCACAGCAATTTGTTAACAGTAACCACACAGACTCAGCTAGTTGCGACAGCAAGCCAAAGACAATGAAAGCTGCAATATACAGGCCAAGACACAACTCCGTTCTGACAATTTCCGAGATGTTGTGGTGAAGTGGGTTATTGTTGTCAACTTGCATTTTGCAGGGGGATCCCAGTTTTTTTTAGAAATTCGGGCAGCAGTAATCATTGGTTGCATCATGTGTTTGCCGCAGCAACCGTGGTTGAAGACTTCGACGTCATAGTGCTTCCACGTCTGGGCCGGGTTGAGCTTCTGGAGCCAAGATGCGCCTTGCCAGCATGATGTTGCTTGATGTTGTTTTGAGTAGTTGCTGCCTCTCTAATATTTCATTCAGTCTTTAATCTTTAAATCCTTTAGTTATTTTATATTTAGATTATAGATATTATATATAACACTAGTCCTTCTGGACCGGCTTGGCAGTGCGATTTGTATCGGAAAGCGACAGGTGGGGGTCATGTTAAGCTGGTTTCAAGAGCCAGTGCATTCGACCACAAACTTGAAAGTCCTGCCAGATACAATCGAGATTGAAAGAAAGACTTCGTAGGTTAATGTACACGCCCTTCGCATGTTTTTGTCGAATGCTGTTGTCCCTGAGGCTGAGTTTGGTGCGCGATGGCTTCCGTGTTTGCACGTCCCTTCCTTGACAGTGCTAGTGCTCAAGGAACTTGGTCGTGATCTCCCGGATCAGAAATCGGCATGGCTGTTTGACTCATGGGCTGGACATGTGCGAACTCATTGAGGTCCATGGGCCTGAAGCCCATGTTTGGCATGCAGATTCCGCTGGTTTGGACTTGTGCCTGGCGCTGAGAAGATGGCTTTCCTCAGACTTATGCGGCCCGGTTGAGCATGTGTTTGACATGCTCGTCAAGGCCATTTTGAGCGGTGTCTATTTCCATCATGTCAGGCCGGCCTCTTATGGTTTTGAGCAGGTCGCAGTGCAGGGAATGTGGGGAGAATGTAGGGATGGAGAATGTAGGGAGCATTGAATGTGCTTGCAGATGGAAAGAACTGAGTGCGATTTCGTTTTCAGGCGTGCAGAGATCAACTATGCTCACAACAAGTTGGAGGGCAGCGCCGCTGCCGAGGAAGCTGGCCACTGAACAGGTACAGAGCCATAATACGTCATGATGCATTGTGGTCAAGAGTTGGTTTGGGGCAGCTATGTGTGACCGGCTTGCATGAGCCTCCCAACCCACAGACTTTGCTAGCTCGCCGTCAGGGGGCATGGAGTAACAGTGCACGCCCATACAGATTTGTGTAGGCCGTTGCTGTCCAGTGTTGCAATAGATCTGCTTTCGACATTCGTCTCTGACACAGCAATTAGCAATTGTCCAGCGTGCCAGGTGATGTGAACATGATTTGAAGAAGTGTTTTTCACCACGGCGCATGTTGCTTTGTAGCGTTGCCAGCGTGTCGCGGGGCATTGTCGGCCGCAGCCTCCCAGCTGACAAGTCGAATGCAAAGAGGCGAGGCGTAAGGATCTTAAGATCAGAAGGGGAAGGCACATACATAAGCAGGCTAAGCAGGTTGTGTGTATGTTGGATGATATTTTGTCACTGGGGTGCGGCCCGAACTCGCCCGCGCTCAGGTCCTGATTCTTATGACATGCACGTCTTCAAGTCTTCAGAAGCTGCGGAGTGTATTGCGCACAAGTCACATATACCCCAGGACATGAGTGTCTATGCTCTTCGGAAGAAACCTGATATGCAGGATTGGAAAACACAGAAGAGCTGCTTCTGTTCTGTCCTTCCTTTGCCACGAGCCAATCCCAGTATGCCCGACGAAAAGAGCTTGAGTGGCTCAAGAAAGCTGGATATATTCCATGAGAACGCCTTGAGAATGTTTACCGACAGCTTCACTGCCCACCCCAAAGCCCCATCGCCATGCAGTTCACCAAGCAGTGTCCAAAGTTTCAATCACATGCGGAGCAAGGCCTTTAACGAAGGTGTCACAAGCGCAAACACAGAACGGACGACGAACGCAGCAGCAAGTGTCCAACGCTGAACCTCCCCCGGCTTGTAGCCTGTCGGATGAATGAGGGCGCGATCCCAAGAAGTGTGTTCCATGCTGTGACTCCTCGGAAGTAAAGCAGCATGCCGAAGCAGGTTGTTTCGGTGTTGAGAACTTGCAGTGCTGTTGCAGCTGTACATGCCAGTAATGTGTATCTGCAGCGTGAATCCCTGGTGAGTCCATTTCGGCAGCATTGGCCACTCTCATGGACTGATTTGTCGCTACCACATTTCACTCACCGGTATCCGGGGGACTGTTGGGTGTTGAGAGGCACTGGGCTTCTTAGGATGGCCCAGGATGGCCCAGGATTATAGGGCTTCCGGCGCCGGCTTGAGGTCGACTCGCCTGGAGTTCCTCGCAGGGTGCAGGTTGGATCCGGTGGACCTGGAGCAGTAGAGCAAGGGCATCTGCAACTCGGGGCTCCGCGGGAGGCGGCCTCTCCAGGGTCGTTGCCCTCGGCTGCTTCACCTGCCGAGTCGCTGAAGGCCCAGCTCAGCCGCCGCCACACGTCCACCTCCTTCCCCCCCCCCCCACCTCCACCTTCTTCGACGTCTTGCGTAAAGTAGAGTCAAGAGGCCAGGCTTTAGCAACTGCCTACCACTTTCACCACCCTCCCCACACCCACCGCCCCCAGCTGTTGAACGAAAGATGCACCCTGCTGCGAGCCGTGGCGGCTTGGCGCATTGTGCAGTCTGAGTTTGTGTGGGTGTCAGGCCTCGCCAGCAGCCAAGTACGAGCGGCTCGAGTCCAACATCGGCGAGGGCACCTACGGTAAGGTGCACAAGGCTCCGATGGCTCCAGAAATCTTAGGCATTACTTCCAGAGAATTCAGGGGCAGTGAGCATGTGCAAATGTGTGTGTGAGAGAGGTTTTCAGAGCTCGTTCATAACTCCCCACACTCAGCCGAAGCTGCGAAAATCCGTGAGGCTCTTCACACCAAGAGCGCGCAAGTCGTCGCGATCAAGAAAGCCAAGGACACCCAGCTTCATGAGAGCTCTAGGTCTGTTGAGATCGTTGTCTCCGGCAGCCACTCATACACACCCAAGCTCTCCTACAGAGCCTTAAAGTTTGAACGGCTGCTGGATCAGAAGCCTCTGCCCCCATGATTTCCTGGTGAGGTTTCGGCCGTGGACGCGGACATCGGTGGGGTCGGCTTCACTGCCCTCCGAGAAATCAAGGCCTTCCGAGGGCTTTGATGGGCAACCATCTTGGCACCATGTGGCATCGTTTGGCTATGACGCCCTGCTGCCTGTGCCTTCCTCCCAGCGAGGTAATGAAGGCCGTGTGCCATCCAAATGTAATGGGCTGCAGGGGGCTTAAATTGGCTTGAATGGGCAAGGTTTGCAGAGCATAGCACACGGACAGCGGCATTTTTCGCATGCATAGTCGTGGCTGACGTTCGTATCGTTTCTCAACACGCCAGCGGCTCTGACTGAATAGAGGACTTGTTGTGGAGAGCCACATGGGCTTTTGGGGATGGGTGCGGCCCCTTGCAAGTTTCGAAACTGCCGAGGCTTAGACGTCTTTGCAGAGCGGGGAATCCTGTGCCGTGGTGAAAAAAGCACTTGAGCTGCTGCTTGTCAGTGCTGCTTTTCATATTGTGGTTAATCGCACTTGCAAGATTTTGTAAGCCTTGTTCGGTGCCATGTCCATTCTGAGAAACGGGTTGCAGAGCTGGTCTGATGTTCAGTTCAATCTCTGATATTGTTGCTGAGAGTTGACTTTGCTGTCGAGGCATCTAGTCATGGAGTTTATGGACGGCGACCTCAAGAAGGTCATTGAGGCTCGTCGAGGCATGAGGCGTTTCAGGCACCACTCCGGATCATTCTTAATAAGCCGAAGCTTAAAACTCGCCTCCAGCGTGTCATTTGTTGCGGTCCCATTCTGCATCCTGTAAGTTGCAAGGCGCCACAATTAGTGCGTGCACAATTTCAGCTATCAGACGAAGCTCGAAAATGACACAGCGTTGATAGCAAGTCCATCCTCGTGCTGAAGCAATGGTCGCTGATGTCTCGTGTTTCGTGTTCTGCCCTTGTGACATGCAGGACAAAGCCCTGGCACTCTCCGAGGCTTGCAGAACGTTTGCTGTTCTCTTCGTCACGTTGCAGATACATCGTGTGGTCGGACAGCCTGCTGGCAAGCTTGTGCTGGCACAGTGATGCAGTGCAGCTAAGAATTAGAAGGTTTCACTTGCCATGCTTTGTCGACGACTCTGTTTCTTCTGGATGGGCAGGCACACTGCAAGTGCCTTGCCAAGCAGTTGCTGCAGGGTCTGGGTCCAAGACGAAAGCGGCGCTGGCAAGTTGCTTGAGCACAGAGGGTACAGGATTTTCTGAACTCTGCTTATAGGCCTTGGCGCGCTTCACGAGCGCTTCTTCGTCCATCGAGATGTCACTCCGAACAATGCCCTTGCCTTACCCTGACAATTGTCGTTCTGCACGCGGCAGACCGTGGCAGATCCGAAGCTGGCGCATCCCGGCTGCTGGAGGTTCTGTTGAACTTCCAGAGTGGAGTTGCCAAGCGAGACGCTTGGGGCATCGGCGGTCACAAGTCCAAGCCTGGCGTTGTAGACACCCACAGACTGAAAAGGACTTGAGTACACCTAAGTACAGCGCACCTGCGCCCAGGCTAAGTGATTTTGGCTTCACGCGCATCATTGGCCAGGACGACGACAGGCACTGCGCAGATTCTGTTCACGACGAAGTTTACAGCTCTAGTGGCTTGTTGCATGCCCCGTGCTCTTGTCACTGAAGCCTTCACATCAGCTGGAGTTTTCATGCTGAACTGCTGGCCGCCTTTTGGTGACCGCAGAGCTTGAGACTGACGGAATCGCGGCACGCTGGTCCTCGCAGCCGTTTCCCCAAGCGACTCACATTCTGACGCTGCTTTCCTGGAACAGCCTGCTTGAAACGCCATGCCTCCAAGCAGCACATCATGGACGATGTAGACGCAACCAATTCCCATCATCAGCTTTCCATAGCTTTGCCAGAGCTTGTCTGGAACCTAGGCAGAGCCCCAGTGAAGCCGCCACCGAGTTGGCAGCTTGCCAGCAACACACAGCACGGAAAGGACTTGGTGTGTCGTCGGTCGTCGGTTGTCAGACGTTACGGGGGCTCTACTGACCCTGCGGTTGGGGTGCGTGTTCAGGCCCAGGCCACATCTGTGTCCCGCACCTTCCAGCGCATCGTGGCCCGCAGCAAAGGTGGGCTGCATGCAGCTGAGCAGCCTTTGAATGGGAGTCGACGTATCCACGCTGAGTTCGACGTTGCATTTGTGCGGTTGCAGGCCTTCCTGTGCCGTACACTGCGACGGGGTTTGCCGCGGCTTCAGTTTTCATTGACTATTTTTAGATGGATGCTTTCGAGTGAGGTCTTGTGCAACTGATGTGACATGTTGGAGTGGAGCTGTACTGGTAGCATATTGCAGCATGCCGCAATATCCCGTAGCTCCAGTTTCTGAATCACGGCGTCAGGCCGGTGCTGTAATTGGAGCATCGCTCTGGCAAACTAACTAGGGCAAGCATTGTTCCCATGACTGCTTGAAAGCTCAGAGACCACTGCAGTCAGAAGGCAGACTCTTGTGACCTGTGGAACCCGAGGTTCAGAACTCCACCGGCCAGAGCTGGACGATGTTCAAGGATGGTCTGGGGCAGACCTGCACTCTTGTCGCACTTGCCATGAACAGCAAGGCCCTTGATGAAGGCATCATACAGAAGCACGGGAAAAAAGGCTGCTGTCTTCCAGGGTGTAGCATTTGCTCGTTGAAGACGTAATTCATTAGTCGAGGATAGGGGCACAGCAAGACGACCAGCAAGGCACCATGAGCCCAGATCCCTCGGCGCACTGCTGATGAGTGGGTGCATTGCATTGGGGTATATTGGGGTTAGGATGCAGCACTGCCCTTGATTCCGTCAGGACGTGCCCTACAGCGCCGACTCAGGACTGCTGGCCGTGGCGGTTCCAGAAACATGGCCGTGACTAAGGAAACATCAACTGGAACCCTAAAGGCAAAAAAAGAGCCTAAACCCCAAAATCCTCAAACGCTGCAGTCGAACCTCCCAGCATCTCCCCAGTGAGGCCTCGAAATCTGACGTTAGGGAAGTCGAGGCTGTGCTGGAATTTTGACGACCGTCCATTCGAAGCCATCCCTGGTCCCTGCACCGGGAAGACACAAATCGATCACCACGCGAACACGGATCAAGAGTTCTTGAGATTAATGTCCCGTTGACACATACATCTTCTCATGCTCACGAGTAACGATTGAATACCATCTACCATCTCCCAGAAACCACCTCCAGCAAAGTGCGATGTTCACTCGACCCCTCGAGCCTTCCTGAGGTGACTGTCGGATTTGGTGCTGCTCAGCTGAAGTTCAGATGAATCTGAATGTCGCGTAGCTGTCAAGGCGCATGTTTGGATGGGGTTTCGTTGTGAGCTCCAACAGAGAGAAGCTACAGATTGCGTGCTCCTGTCAGCAGAGCTCTTGCTCAGTCCTGGTGCGCTTGTTCTTTGACTTAACCGTCTTGTGTGGATGAACCTGCAAGATAGCTTTGCCATTTCCGCTAAGAATGACGTGGCTGTCTAGGTGCTGCTGCTCGACCTTCTCGTTCAGCTTATGCTAAGTAGTACTCGCATGTTTGTAACGACATACATCCAGCAAGGGTCTATGCCGTTGTGGCACTGAACGATCCCCATATGTCGAGCATATCTGGGCCGGTTCATCTTGAATCATGGCACAAGCATAGCGCCTTCCTTTGCAAGCACCTAGAAGGGTGCTCAGTTGTATTCGGAATGTGACACAAAGACTAGGTGGTCATCATGATCGCCAAGATGATGAAGTGAGGCTGCCAAAGGAGGGAGTCGACTTTGAAGACGTCCCAGGGGAGCTGAGAGCAGCAGACAGGTGATGGCTGAGAGCAGCGCATGACATTGAATCCCTGTTCTGTTCATCGGGCTTTAGGGTTTAGGCTTTGGGGTTTAGGATATCCTGCTAGCTTCACTTCGCTTCCCAAGATTGCCAATGCCTGTCTCGGCGTCGAAATGAACTGACCGTAGCTGACCTTTGGAGATATATGATTCACTCGACTTCCGATTTCCGCACAATTGTTGGGACCGGGCTTCCCAGCCTGTCTTCTGTGCAAATACTTGTAGTGGAGATACTCTCACCTTGCCAACTGTGCGGATTTGGAAGACCAACCATGTAGCAATATGTGAGGTGCGATTTCAGACAGTAGTTTGTCACGGATCTCTTGACGTCGTAGGCATATGCTGTGAACAGATCAGTTGAGCCGATGGTGCCCTTGTCTTGTCTTCATACCGATGCGTCCCGAACCGGTGGGTTTGCCCTCCTCGGTAACATGACTTCAAGATAGTCGCCAGCATGGTTGGCGATTGCTCCTCACTTTTCGGTTGCAGTTTCAAGTCTTTCTTGGCAATGACGCTTCTGGGCGTGCGGGAGCGCAGAGGTTCGGACCTGCGTAGTCTTTGCCGAGGCTTGCAAGGCACGGGTACTTTAGCGCTGTAGAGAAGTGAGTAGCATATTCATCGATCTTTGAGGAGAAGTGCAGAGGCCCGGCTTCTGCACTGCCGAACATCCGGCAAGAGTTGTCAAGCAACTGAACCTTCTCCAACAGCCAGGCGAGAGGTGAAAAGATTGACTGAGACAGGGGGATGAGAACAGGGGGACGTAAATGGCCAGCGTGGGGTACTTGTTCTTGTACTGGCCGACAATCGTGGACCAAAAAATATGTCTGATGCTGGGTATGTAGGTCCTAGGTTAGTTGAGCGAGTCTGGCAGCAAGTGTGCGGCATGCTTGGGTGTTTTGTTTGCAAGCGTGCATTCTGTACACGATGAATCCTGCCGGCAGCCGCAAGCCTTTCCGAGTTGAAAGCAGTATGGGGGTTTACGAACTGAGGGGCTACCTTTTTGGGTCCTTATTATCAGGAAATCCTACAATTTGGGGGACTATTTCAGGGACTTTAATGGCCCCGTATTCTCGTAGGCCCCCGTATGTGCCTGGAAGCGGTTTTCGGGTGCATTTCACTCCAAGCTACCTTGGTTGGGTCTATTTTGTTGAGCCTCTCTCTCCCTCTCTCTCCCTCTTTTCTTTCTTTATTTCTTTCTTTCTGTCTTTCTGTCTTTTCCTTTTCCATCTTCAGGACAGGTTTAGGGTCTATGGTTCAGTCTGGGCTTGGAGGGGTTGGGTTCAGGCTTGTGGTCTAGGTTCTGGATCTAGAGCTTTCGTTCGAGGTTCGGCGGTAGGGCTCATGTTCAAGGTCGGGTGGTGTTCAAGGACGTGGGTGCCGGGGGGGAGGTGGCAGCGTGGGGTGAGGTTGAGCGTATTTCCGTATCTATATATGTATATATACACATACTGATGTTGTATGCATGTGTGTGTACATATGCGTATGTAGATCACATTGCAGGCCGATGACCGCAGCATGTACCACACTTTGGCCGGGCACTGAGATGCTCAAGCAAGGAAGCTTGGGTTTTGTGTGTTGCTTGCACCGGAACGGTTTCTGATCGAACAGGTGTTGGTTGGCCAGACAGTCGTCACTTGCACTATGATTGGCAGCATTCTGCCGAACCAAGCATCTGGAGGTTTCTTCCATGGAAAAATCAGCACGTGTCGGCCGTAGTCGCGGTACCATGGCGCCCTCAAACTGCGCGACAATTGGCAACACGACACATGTTCCAAGCTGCTGAAGCACCTGCTCGCTTGGCAAACGTGGTCTCACAGACATGGAAGGATACATGGAAGGATACATGTTGCTGAGTTAATATTTGGGTTCTTCTGGGCGATGGTGCTGAAAAGGTTGCAATGCTTGTGAGGGGGTCAAGGAAAATGTCGCACGAGCTTCATCCCATGCTGTTGTGAGGTATCGCGCGCCGGAACTGTTTTTCGGCGCGAAGCAGTATGGCCAGGCAGGAAAGAATGATGAGGAACGATAGGACATGAAACGAAATCATCCTGCTTCTTGCATGTTTGTCTCTCCTTCAGCCGCACTCGAAAACCTTACAGACATCTCTATTCCTGTGCTTTGGGATTTGTGGCATTGTTCCGTAGGGTTCTGGAGCAGGAAGACATCTGCCGCTACTGCTCTTCCTCTGACTTTAGATCTCTTTTTATCTGTTCGCTGCTATCAGAGTTCGTGAAAGGACAACGAAGCCAAGACTTTGCCGTTCGGAGGCTGTTGACATCTGGAGCAGTGGCTGCATCGTTGCGGAAATGCTGATGCGGGAGGCCGGGCCTTGACTTTGTGGAAAATCTGGTGCGGTTTGGGGAAGCTGCTGCGAGAATGTGTCCATGGATGTGCAGCAAGCTCTGGGAGAAGAGAATCGGATCCCTAGGTAGGGACTGAGGCAGAAAATCCCGTGCATATCCGGTTTTGAACCTACACTTCCCCACGGCCTGCTCACCAGGCCATGTTCCCGGGGCGTGGTGAGTTTGGAATGCTGCAAAAGATCATTGAGCGACGCGGGACGCCGGAGCCTAAACCAGAGGAGTGAACTCGATTCAGCGCATGTCTGTAGAATGCCAGTGCAACTTAAAGCAAACTTAACCCGAGGCCTTCGGAAGAAGTTTGGAAGGAAGCTCGTTTGCAGTCAACATCCCAAGTGTGTGCAAGATGCACGAAAGAGTAGGCATCCTAACCGAGCTTCAGGATGTATCCTCACTGCCAAACTTCGTGGAGTTCACCCCGCATCCGAAGGCCAGCTTGCCTAGGATGTGGATGCGACATGTCATTCATGCTTCATGATCCTGTGCTTAGGCGCAAATGGAGCAGATCCTGCCAAACACATCGAAGCTCGGCTTGAAGCCTTGTCCGCTACAAGTGCATCCCAAGGACGATCTGGGATTTGCGGTGTATGTCTGGTTGTGTATGTGCTCGCTTAAGGACGGCCTCGCAGGCCTTCGTGGACTTGCTGCTGACTCTGGACCCGAAACAGCGCGAGGGCCTCGCGAGATGTCAGGGGGTCAGGGGACCTTGAAGTGGCCAATTGGCCACATGTGGCCACATGTGGCGGCACGCCTCACGCTCGCTCGCTCGTTCTCTCTCTCTCTCTCTCTCTCTCGCTCTCTCTCTCTCTCTCTCTCCCTCTCTCGCTCTCTCTCTGTCTCTCTCTCTCTCTCTCTGTGCCTCTCCCCCCCGTCTCTCCCCGTCTCTCCCTCCCTCCCTCCCTCCCTCCCTCCCTCCCCCCCCATGCTCTCCTCTTCTTCTGTTCTCCTGCGTCCGGACTCGAGGCCCCACTGCTGCTGGGGCCCTCGCGCACGACGCTTTGAAGATGGACGCGGCCTTAGGGACGAATCTGTGAGCTGCGGAGTGACTGCCTGCAAGCTGTTGGACGTTGCAGGATGTGAGAGATGGGAGAGGAGTTGAGCCTTGAACTGAAGTGCTTGTGTCAGGCTCGACCCTTGCCCTGCGCACCCAGCGAGCTGCCCTTCGTGCGAAGTTGTTTGCCCAGAGATCTTGCGCAACGTAAGAACGAAGGGTAGTGGGCAAGAACGTTCTCCTCACATCCCTGTGTACGGGCGGCCATTTCCATCAGGTGGATAGCTGGAGAAAGATCCTGCAGTGCGCAAGGCCTGAGCGTCAGGTCATGTCAGGACTGCCTGCTTAGATGGATCCGCATTTTCAGCGGACCCTGATGCAAGTTCGAGCCACATGCCAAGATTTCGGCAGTGGCTGTTTCACCCTTTACCGTAGCTGGATGGGCCAGGTTGGCCGTTGAAGTCAGAATACAGAAGGCAAGTTTTGCAGGGCACTTGAGTTCCTCCAACCTGAACTGCATCTACATAGGACCTGGCACGGAGCAAAGAAGTTGCTCCGTGCACTGCAATTTTGGCTTTTAGCATTTCTGCAATAGTTTTCTGGGAGCTGAAAGGCAGAAGGTTGCAGAACGCAGCTGAGCGCTGGGCCTCCTTGATATTGCATCACTGGTTCGTTGCAATGCAAAAATTCAGGATCAGTTGCAGGATCTCACAATGACAACGGAATTAGTTCAGCAGCCACGCCCACGGTTGGACCCAGCGGGATGCATCGGCCACAGAACGAAGGTAGTCAGCGAAAGGTGAACTTCAACTGTGGGCTCTGCTCCTTAGACGTGTGGCATCGTGTAGCTACTCGACGCGCTCGCAGAAACAATGTGCAGCGCCTCACCGGGTCCACGGGTGCCTCGTCTAGGCCCAGCAAGCTGACAGCTGAAGTTGTGTGGGTTCTGCCCGAACGAAGTTGAGAATCTGCGTTCTATGCGTTCTCTTGGTCTCCATCTGAAGATACGACTTTTGCTTGCTTCGGGTTTTCCACCTTGTCTTGAACGTTCTTTTCAAATGTCTTCGGCAATCAGGTTGAGCCCAGGTTGAACTCTGGGTGTAGGAGAGGGGCGTTTCACCCCCGCTTCCTTGTGCACTGCAGTCTTGATTCCCAGTTTGGCCTTGCAGTCTGCGATTGTTCATGATTTTGTCTGTAACCACACGATGCGACGCGTGCCTCAACCTGTGGCTCGAGCACAAGTAGGCACAAGTTCCTAGCTTTCCATGTGCAGACATGTAGTAGACATGTGGAGTGGTGGTTAAGATATTTGACTCTGATCGATGCATGTAGCAGAGCGCATGCCCAGTTCCTTTGAGATGTGTGGGGCAAGTCAGTCACAGCCAGGCAGCATCATGCATGCAAGTACGTGTGTGTCACAGCTCATGCAAAGCATCGGGATGTGGCCAGCGGATGTGTTTCTGACATGCGTGCCGCAACAAACGCGTGTAGCTCAGACGACGTCCAGGACGGCGCACAGCCATAAACTCATTGTCCAGTTGTTCCCAGGCATCAAAAATGGTTCGGAAGACCAGGAAGAAAGGTGGGAAGCCCATGGAAGCCCACGTTTTTGGAGTTTGCAGGACGTTGCACAGCACACAAACCCACGTGAACTCGGCCTCGAGGTGCTAAAGCAGAGACCGAGGCGCTCTCTCCATCTCTGTCTCTCGCTTTCTCTCTCTCTCCCTCTCTCTCTGTCTTCCTTGTTGTTATCCTTCTCTCTCTCTGGCTCTCTCTCCCTCCCTCCCTCCCTCCCTCTCTCTGTTTCATGATCCAAACAGGCATCAACCTCTTCGAAGCCAGAAGAGCTGAGGACATCATCCAGGCCCTCGTTTAGTGTTCGCTGCCTTCTCAGCGCATGCACAGCACCATATACTCACACGCGTGGACTTTTGCAACTTGCTCCTCTCGAAGTTGGTCATGGCTGCCAGGCGTGCAGCCGCATCCTCATCGCGTCTTCCTCAAGAGGTGGCTGCCAGTCACTCACGCTGCTGCATGCTACACACATCGAAGTGGGTTCTTTGCCAGGCGAAAGCTGGCAAGCAGTCTAGGCTACTGGACGTCCTGAAGCGTCAGCCTCCTGTCAAGGACATGGGATGTCGGGGGATGTTGCTCACTATTGTTTATCCTTGCTTTCACTTGTGCGTCGGTGAGAAGCCCATCGTGACATCAGGACACAGTCGTCATTGAATCCGACGAGGATGGCCCAGCATCGCCCAGGCAGCAGTGAACGACTTCAGCTTGCCTGAGTCTGTCGGTGCAGAACTGTGGGACATTGCCAGGCAAGCACAGATCTTGACAACTCCAAAGGCTGCTCCGAGCCTTCCGACCCCGCCTGCAAGCCTTTAAGTTTGACTCGCCAGGCGAAAGAGGCGAAATTGGCAGATTCTCGACCAACATCGAAAGATGCATCGCCCATGGCCGAATCCTCGTCACCAGAGGCTTGTGATGCTTGTGCAAGTCTTGCCGCGTGGGCTTGGCTCTGCTCGGTTGTTGTAAGACAGGAGCCAACCCGGAAGCGCTCGCGAATCACCACGAAAACCAGCGAGCGACGCTGGCATGTGCAAGTTGCACAGCAGGTTTGGTTGTGATTAGGCTTGCAGCGCCCTGCTGTATCCTAGTTTCTTTAGCGTGTTGCCTGTCGACAGCTTTGCTATCGGTGCCAGGAAAACAGTGGAACAGATCTACCAAAAGAAGACGCAGCTAGAACATATCCTTCTGAGCCAGAAGCCAAGCAAGATGCATGAACCGGTTCAGCATTCGAAGCAGCAAGTGTGCGTAACTGCAAGGGCCTGACTCGTACGTTGGCTGCAGCCTTAAAACCTTCTGTGGAGAAGCTTGGATCAGAAGCCTACAATATCTTGCAGTTCTTCGGAACCGACCTGCAAGGCTCCGTCGAGCGTCAGCAGCAGGAGCTGTGGACGCTCTCTGGTGGGAGCAGCAGTCGACCTTGCATGTCATGCGTTTGGCTCGCATCGTGTCCCTCGAATCAAGCAAGCTTCGCCAGGCAGCGCTCAAAGGCGCCTTGTTCAAAAACTGCAAGAGAGAGAAGCAATGGTTGTCAAAGGTTCTGTAACGTGGTCGCTGCTGCATTTCTGTGAGGATGGTGCGGAGGAAGGTGGACTATGTGCCTGTCGCCCAGCGCAGCAATGAAGCCGGTTCCAGACGCTCCATAGTGATGAGTGCCAAGGCCGGCCCTCTACAAAATCTTTGATGAGATTCTCGTGAATGCTGCGGACGGCAGATGTTGAGCTTGCTTGCTCGCAGCCCCACACTGGGTTGGCCAACATGCCTGACAAGGACAACCTGATTCGGGACCCATCCATGAACACCATCAAGGACGCCATCTTGCAGCCCCCCAAAGTTCCTGAGACCCTGAGAATAGCAACACGTAGAGACTACAATTACATAATGTGACATATTGTAGTATATATATATATGTATAACATTGTAAGTTGCTGCTAGGGTCCCGGGACTATCGCAAGTGACATCTTGGGACCACGTTCCGACTCTCTTGGCGTCCGAGAATGTGTCCTTGCGTCCGAGACGGTGCGCAATGCATGGCGAGAGAATGGCCCTGGAAAAGCCTCTCAGTATTTCGAGTTCCCCCACAGTTTTCTCCGTGCAACCTGCGCGACTCATGAAACTCCGTGGCCGGCATGCCTTGTTCGAGGGTCGGAATGTTTCTTTGATGCCGCAACCACACTCCGCTTCCGCACTTGGGAGAAGGTCAGCTGCGAACACATTTCAAGATCGTGGAATCGTGCTTCGAGCGATTGCAGTTATTTTCTGGACCTTTCGGAGGTCCTTGTCCGCAGTGGTACCATCAGCCAAAGAATCTGAGCTTTTCATTCGCTAGGGCTGTGTGCACGGCTGCTTTGGGTGGTTTGGCGCCTCACCTGACTGCTCGCTGACTGCGCGGACAATGGAAATGTACTAGGCATCTCTATTTCCGGCAGGTGTGTCTGCTGAGCATCATCTCCAGATATTATCAGCTGCCGGAAGGTTGAAATTAGCGCGACGCAGTCACGAATCTCAGCCTGCAGCACAGCTTCAGAGGAATGTACTTGGTTCGGGTCAAGAGGGTTAAGCTTTCAGGTCTGGAACAATGGCAGGGGGCTGCCAGTGCAGGCGCCTCTTGCATTTTCAAACAGCCCACTGTTTCTATTCCTTTCCGTCATCTGCCTGCAGGTCCACAAAGAGCATCGTTGCTATGTGCCGACGTTGGTTGCGGGCTTACATCCCTCACATTGATGCTTCTACTGACTCTCTTTCACAAGGTCCTGTGCCATGTAGTGCTTCAACTGCCTGCTGCATCCTAGCGCGACGTCTTTTTGCCGATGGCCCAGGTCTTTGGCCATTTGCTGACCAGTGACAACTACGACGACAGTGCTCTCTATGCATATTGTTTTCTGTCGCTGTTCTTTTTTGCTGTCTACAGTTCTTGCTCAACCTTACAAATGTGCTCATGCGTTCCTACCTTCATTCGCAGAAGGGCACAACAGCAAAGTCACCGAGGCGAGAAGAAAGTTGTGGGAGGTCGGAACGGTGCGGCGCTGTGATCTTTGTTTAACTCCTCTTGACTCCCTGAAAGTGTGGGGGGGAAGGGGGGATGGGGGGTGGGCCCAGCAGTAGCCGTGATAAGGTTATGGAGCCAAGCTGACCAACATCTACTCCAAGAGCTTCGTTGTCGAAACTGCTGATACGAGCAGTCCACGGCCTAGCCTCGCTTTGCGAGAGAACGTTCTCACGCCGTACCTGTCGGGGTTTAGGGGTTTAGGCTTAGGGGTTTAGGGGTTGAAGGTTTTAGGGGTTGAAGGTCTTAGGGGTTTGGTGGTTCTAGGTTTTCGGGATTTAGGGGGGACTGCAAAGTCTTAGGCCACCGCAAGTATCGGCAGCAATGGAGTGACAACATGCTCCATCCTCAGATTCTGCAGGGCAAACCATGAGGTCCTCCAAACTGCGCAATCACGTGTCTTCGCGCGGCTCTTTTGCTAAAAGGAGGTGCACGGAGGAGCCGGAGATCGTACCCTACAAGGGGAAGGACGGCCTCAGAGCTCGCAAGACTTGCACAAAGGCATTGGTAGGCTATTTCGTTGAGGCTCCCTAAACCCTAAACCCTAAACCCTAAACCCTAAACCCTAAACCCTAAACCCTAAACCTCTTCCAGGACTTCACATCCGTGACCTTCGAGCCAGATCTGCGCCGATTTGGCATGACTCACTTGGAGGATGCCGTGAAAAGATCTGAGCCCTAAACCCTAAACTCCAAACCCCATACCCTAAACCCCAAGCCCTAAACCCTAAAACCCGAAGCCCTACCCCCGACAGAATGGCAGGACGACATCGTGGCACTGATGCAGCGCCGTGCGTACGACGTGGCTGCCTCCACGAGAGGTCGCTGTGAGGAGCCGCCCTTATTGCTGAGGATCAACGGGGATAAATTGTGATGTTCCTCCTTATACTAACAGTCCTTAATAGGGATTCTAATAGGGGGTACGCTAATCCCTATTAAGCACTGTTAGAAAAAGGGGGAACATCCCAAGAGATACATCGGGTCTAGCCTGTGCAATCCGCATCCAGCCTATTGGCCTAGCTTGGCTCTTGCTCTTGGCAAAGGTGTACCTGAACGGACAATGCTTGGAGGTAGATTCTTTCGAGGACAGCTTGTGGTGAGGGTGGCGAAGTGCGGACCATTGAACGCTGCAGGACTACGTCAGTCTTTTCCTCGATCCAGATGACTTCAGGATATCTGAGGCCAGAGGGCGATCTCGTTCGGTAGCACGCCTCCATGCCTGGTCCATGAGGCCTGCAATGACAGATGGGAGGTGGCCATTGCCCTGACAGACGGCCGCTGCCCTATGCCACTCTGCCCCCCCACTTCTTGCGGGCGATTCTTCTTTGAAGCCGGGGCCTTCTTTCCTTCTTTCCGAGGCAGCGGCTTCCGCCAAGTCAGCTTCGTGAACTCCATCTGCACCAGCCGAGGACACAACATTCCCAACAAAGCAATTTTTCATTTAACAATAAAAGTGCTTCTTGAAGGAGGCACCCATGTGAACTGTGTGGCAGACCAGGCCACTCAATGCAAAGTCATGCATGTTCCACTCATGTCTCGTGGAGTCTCTGCCTCTTTTTCAAGTTCAATGCCCCAAAGTAGACGTGTTGGAGAGCCAAGCAGGAGAGTTGTTCGAGCATGTGCAAGGCATGTAGAATCAGCGAAGTCTCAGGTCGTTTCGGCAGTCATGGATGAGTTGGCCAAAGAGAAGGAACGACGCTTGGTCTCGGCTCTCCTGGCATCGTTCGCGACAAAACTATTTTCGAATCCGAGGCCAACAAAGCAGGAAATCTGGCGGTGAAACCTCAACATGCATGCATCTGAGAGAGCTTCGGCTCGACATGGCCTTTCTCACACTCTGAACAGCAAAAAAAAATCCTGTGGGGGAGTGCAGATGTGTGAAGCGTCGGATGGGCTCTTGAGTGAGGTGCGGAACCACCTCTGGGTCTTCGTCAATTGTTTGATTGAGAATCCGGCTTTTGACTCGCAGACAAAGGCCGCGCTGGGATCCGCCTGGCATGCATGGATTTCAGAGGTTTTCACCTCTGCAAAGTGTGTAGGAGACGTTGACCACCAAGAGGGAGCGCTTTGGGTCCACCTGCGAGTTGCCGGGGCCCCTTTCGTGTGGCCTCTTGCTCGGGGTGCTGCGGGTGGTTCAGAGTCGAGCCCGATTGAGCAGGAAATGTACATCCTCTATCTTCTGTAGTTTTTTTGCCGTCTCAAGAAGCAGAGTATCAGTTGTGCCAAACAGTTGCAAGGGTGAAGTAGTCTAAGTTCTGCTGGTGGCAAGCTGTGGCAAGTCGGGGTTGTCGTCGGTTCTCACTATTAGATGCGCGAAAGGTGCAGCCGCCGAAAACCCGGAAGCTTCCCCCTTTGAGCAAGGCTTACGTAGCTTACCTTACCATCCGATCGGAAAAGCGGCTCTGATTTTGAAGCTTGACCGAGTTGTGCTCAGGCATATTCGATCGGCTGGGGTCAGGACGATTTGACAGTTTGGCTTGCTTTTTCTCTCCTCGGGATCAGGTCGGAAGTGCTCCTGCAGGCAGTGTGCACCAGTGGCATAGTTGCAACCTCAGTCTGTTATGAAGGCTGCTGGTCATGAAGAGACGCTTTCCGTCTCATTGCTAGGTCGAGACACTGCAGGAATGGTCCAAAGCCCTGGGCAAAAGTCCGCATCTCAAGCAAGATACGTCCTGAACATCGCAACTGCCGTGTAAGCCTGACAGGCGAGCTGGCACGACATCTCAACAAGAGCGTCACGCTGGCGGTTCTTGTGAGACTCCCTTGAGAGCTCATTACTGTGACAGTGTATTTGCACATGGTAGTCGTTGAGTCTCCAGGTTGAGATGCAGTTTGGACAGCACATGCCTGGAGGTGTCAATATCTATCTTAGCGACGCATGTCAATTATTGGAGGATCTCTGGGCGCTGGCCGTTTCCACTGCTTGGCTCGCAGGAACAGTGTCTTTGTAAGTACAGAGTGCCTAGGTGCACTCAGGAGGGCGGGCGCGCCAATCGGGTAGAGTCGCCGGTCTTCGCTAGTGTTTCATTGCGTGGGGGGTCTCAGAGTATCAGAAGTTGAGGCCGCAAAAAGGTGGATGAGGAGCGTGTTTGAGCCTGCACTGAGGAGCTGATCCTGGCTGGTAATGCAGGGCGGCGGTGGCAACAATGCCAACAACATTCGGATGGGTGTGCCTGGCATGATGATGGGCATGGGCCAAGGCGGGGCGTGGCTTCCATAAACTGTCCGGTCGGAAGCAGTCATGGCCGGAGGCTCTGACCCGTGATGTGCTGTGTCAGGTATGCGAATGCCCATGGGCATGCCCATGATGGGCATGCCCATGATGGGCATGATGGGAATGCCCATGAATCCCATGATGGCCATGCCGATGAACCCCATGATGGGCATGGGCATGAATGCCGGCATGGGCATGAACCCCGGTATCCCAGGCCAGTCAATGCATGGCACCTATCTTGGCAGAGTTCCCTGATCCTCCAGCTGCTTCTATAAAGCTGACTAGAACTTCAAGACCTGGATGCCTTGGGCAAAATAGCCATCGCATCTACCGCCGTCCTCCCAGGCGCGCAGTCGCCGCAGTCCGGACAAGGAGCCGACCGGAGTAGCGATCTCATCTCTGGGAATCTGGTGGTGGGGCTGGGAACACCTCAGGAGATGCAAGGAGCATGTGCATGACACATCATTCTACCAGCACTCTTGCAACCCTTTTCTCTCCGAGCCTTTGCAACCTCCAGACCCCAATAGCATGTTGCTTGCCGCCCGCGCGTCCAGGTGCTGGGGTGAACCCTCCAAGCACGGCCGTGGTGCCGCCAAAGGTCGACACCCAGCCCTGTTCTTGGACAGGGAGAGGGAGAGAGGGAGAGAGAGAGAGAGACAGAAGGCAGTCACAAGCTGCCATGTCAGCTATGTCACATGTCTCACTCCAAGACACGGTTACACTGTTGGACGCGCCCATTGGGCGACCCTTTCAAGGAAGGAAGGAAAAAGGTAGGGGTCTCTTATGCGACTTTGCTCACACTGAAGCCGAGGCCCAGCCTGGAGTCCAAAGGGCTTCCACCGGGGCTTCCGCCGGGTGTCGTCCACCGCGAGCGAAGCCGTAGTCGAGATGTCGTGCGGGCGCCACCGAAGGCGGGAAATCGGGGGTCTAGAATCGGTTTAGGGTTTAGGGTTTAGGGTTTAGGGTTTAGGGGGGACTTTCTGGGAAGTGGCAGCTTGCTGGATCCTTTCAAAGTGAGGCCGAGAAGGAGCCCGAGCCAGCTCGGGAGCCCACGCCTCCTCGAGAGAAGACGCGGCGGCCTAAATCTGAAAGGGTTTTCTGGGTCCCTCTAGAGTATAGAGAGTAGTGGTATGTAGTGATACAGCATCTTGTGGCTGCATCTGGAGCCCACGGATGCGTTCAATTCCTCTGCTGCGCGGGAGGCCTCCAAGATGTCACCTTCACAACACGAAGAAGCCCAATGCAAAGTGCAAGTTCTGCCAGCCACTGGGGCATGATTCTCCAAGTGATGCGCTGCTATCGTGTGCTACCCACCGGGTTGCCTGGAGTGGATGTCCTCTGCCCAAAAGCCGCCTGGTGTAACACATCCGCTCTGTCGCCAGGAAGTGGCTGGCAAGCCAAAGCCAGGCCCACCCTGAATCTGACAAGGCTCATTGTGTCGGGCGCCTCAAAGCGGGATCTGTAGTATTCTTGAGGGCTCTTCCATGGCAGCTGCTGTCAATTTCATTATTGCATGCGGTGCCATAGGCTGATAAAGATGGCCCGGCTCCCAGCTGCCATCCTGACGAGGGGTGTCGAAAGTACCAGCGTGCGCCCGTCCACTTATTTTCCATCCCCCCCCCCCCCCCCCCCAATTTCCTGTCCCTACTGGGTAAGGTGGCAAGCACAAGGAAGACAAATCCAAACACAAGGAGGTGGAAAAGGCACTGCCACGAGTCGAAGCAGTTTCGCCGGCACTACACGACTAGGGTTCTGTCTGTCTGAGTTTCAGTGGGTCCTGATATGCTAGAACTTCACCTGAATGCACGCATGGTCACGATCTTCAGCGCAAGCATCGAATGGCTGTCACATCCTCGTTTGTCAAGGAAGATGAGGAAGACTATTCCCGTCGCACCTTCAAGTGCAGTAGCTTGCTGAAGGAGCACTCCTGAGAAGCAATGTTCAATGCTTCGCAGTGGGAGTCTTGTAGCTTTCTTTGCAGCGTGCCAATGCCTCTCGACATCTCCGGCTCTCGACAGGATCAGATCTTTGGCTCCAGCTACTTCAAGAGCCTCTTAGACATCAGCGATCTCGACCCCTTGACAGAAGAGATCGCCAAGTATGTCGGCTCCACTGCTTTTGGGAGAAGCAGCTCCGTCCTGAATCATGTTGAGAGACTCTCGGAACAAATCATCCTGAAGGCCGACACCCTCGATGTGTACAACTCGGGGAACAATGTGCATCCTTCCTGCTTCATTTGTCAGGCAGGAGTGTGTTTACTTGTGTCAGCTTCCTCCGTGTTTGTACTTGTATCCCCCCCCAAGGATCAAGGTGGAGTGAGAATTGCTGGTTGTGACATTCTTACGCGAGACAGATTCCGCACACGCATTCACACTGTAAGGTCTATCGCCTCTTCACCCTGCCGCAGTCGGAGGACTTGGATGAGCTCCTGGCAGTCCTGGATGCAAATCCTTCGGCCAAGGTGGCAACTAACCAACTGCCCCGATGCCTTTAACTTCGAAAGCTAGGTTCTGCAGTACTAGCTTACTAGCCTAAGCAGATGGCAAAACCTCTTTCGTATGTTCTATGTTGCACTTCATGCCACCAAACTTTCCGTCACAGATCCCAGCCCGTTTTGCATCAGGTTCGCTGTGCTGCATTCCTGTACGTCCGCTTTGTGGTGCCTTGCAAGACAATGGCCAGTTTTTCGGGTTTCGATGAGGGAGGCGACGGCTTCCTTACTCTGCTCAGGTACCTCCGAACAAGCTGTACGACAAGCTTGAGGAGAACCTCTTTGACGATCAGGAGCTGAAGTACGTTGATGGTGACAAGCAGGCTGAGAATGCGAGACGCTTTTGCCGACATGGCTTGTGTGTGTGTGTGTGTGAGTGTTTGGTGGATTTTGTTGCATGTTCCGCCTTCCATTGTAGGTTACGACCACCATTCGTGAGTATGTGGAGAACCTGATGATCAAGGCTTCGGCGGTCGAGTTTTCGTTGAGCTTCTGCAATGTGTCAGGCTTCCATTAGGCGGGGTGTGAGCTTCACTCAGCATGTCTTCGAGAGGGCAGTGTGCTGAAGGACAGATACTACAACACCCCGCTGCCAAGAATTCCTGTCAAGGCTCGTTTCTGGGATGCCACAGTGCTGCGTCCTGACTCGTACTCGTACATGTCGATCGAGAGCCACGAGCTCTTCTGACAAATTCGTCACTCCTGTTGCATGTGTGGGATTGCTGCAAGGACTTCACTTGTGTGCAGGTTCGGCAGCACTTGGAAAAGGAGCTTGCGCCCCTCTCACAGTTCCGGCCTTACCTTCAAAAAAAGGGTTGAGAGCAAGAGACAGCCCTAAACCCTAAACCCTAAACCCTAAACCCTAAACCCTAAACCCTAAACCCTAAACCCTAAACCCTAAACCCTAAACCCTAAACCCACACCCCAAAAACCCTAAACCCTAACCCTAAACCCTAAACCCTAAAACCCTAACCCTAAACCCTAACCCTAAAAACCTAAACCTAAACCCTAAACCCAAACCCTAAACCCTAACCCTAAACCCTAAACCCCTAACCTAACCCTAAACCCTAAACCCTAAACCCTAAACCCTAAACCCTAAAACCCTAACCCTAAAAACCCTAAACCTAAACCCTAAACCCTAAAACCCTAAACCCCCTAACCTAAACCCTAAACCCTAACCCTACCCTAACCCTAAACCCTAAACCCTAAACCCTAACCCTAAACCCTAAACCCTAAACCCTAAACCCAAACCCTAAACCTAAACCCTAACCCTAAACCCTAAACCCTAAACCCTAAACCCTAAACCCTAAACCCTAAACCCTAAACCCTAAACCCTAAACCCTAAACCCTAAACCCTAAACCCTAAACCCTAAACCCTAAACCCTAAACCCTAACCCCTAACCCTAAACCCTAAACCCTAAACCCTAAACCCAAAGTATATCCATGCTCATGGACAGGTTTCGGAAGCGCATGGCTGCCGTCCAGAGGGAACTGCCTCCAAAGAAGGTCCGGTGCACTGGCAGAGCCCTGATTGTCTGAAACAGGAGCCTGGTGCCGCAATGAACATCGTAGGGGCATTAGAGAGTTGAGAGCAGGGCCGAAAGGCTTTCAACTCCGGAGGCCCCCAGGCGCAGGTCTAAAGCTGTCTCTGATCGGAGGTTGCCGGCACAGCCGTGGAAGTTTATATAGACGGCAGCTGGCTACCCGGCCACATCAAAAACTACGTAGGCGGGGCACGAGTGGCTTCAGCGTGCCTTTGAATGCCCCGCCGCAACGCTCTGCATGCCTTGCTTAGAATCGGTCGCATGTGAACCTGGCATCAAGAGTAGATGTAAGCAATGCTTGATCAGAGCTTGTGATCATTCGTTTTTGCTGAGAAGCTTGACTACAGTGTGTGGGGTGCAAGTTCAGCAGCCAATATCGCCTGGAAATTGATGCATTGTGGTGTGAATTGCTCGACCCTACCCTCCATGCTGTTAGTTTGCTGAGCTGACCTCACTGTGAGGCCAGCACAAGCGCAAAGTGAGCATCCAGTTGGAAGACGGTACGATGGTCCAGTCCCACTTGGGAAAGGCCGGGGGAAACCTACAGCAGAGCGCCAAGTGCAGCAATCAGAGGGACTTGTCATGGGCTTCTTTTCTAGTGCCCGTGTCAATCCCCAATTTCCGAAGTAAGAGTAGCTTCTTCAGCCTTTGTGACGCAGCTGATCGGACTAGAGCATGTGGCCTTGTGTCTTGTGTACCGGTTGCTGGCAGCTGGCATGTGCTGGTGGTAGATGGGTGCCTTGTGCTGGCCGGTGTCACCAGTCCACCCTCTCTAACTGCCAGAGAGCACAGCTGCTGGTACGATGGAGTCTGCGAATTTGTTTCCAAGGAGAGGCGTCTCCGACGTGAATCCAGAGCTGCAGCAATTTGCTAATCTGCGAGCCTTAAGCAAATGACTGGTGCAGTTTGCCGAAACTGGCCGCATTCCCTGTGTTTCAACCAATGAAGTGAAGTCACGTGTATGGCCATGTGGGCCATGTGGGGCCATGCATCAGGCTTCACCTGGAACGCCTCCCCCCCCAATCATGCAAACACCGTCAACTTTCCCTGATCTTTCAGGTTGTTCTGAGAGATGAGGAAGTAGATGACAAAGACAAGGAGAAAGACAAGGACAACGACAAAGACGAGAAAGATGAGGCTCTGGTCGTCACATGGCACGGCACGAGGAACTGGTTCTCGGTAGCCCATAATTCCATAGTTGTATCACCAGATGATTCCGCCGTGGCCACATGAAGCTGCTGTCCGATCGGGATCATGGTACCGGTGCGGTGGTCTGGTGGTCGTTGGGATGACAGGAAGGCTTGAGACTTGAGCGCGGGAGAGGACATAGCAGACCCGGACTGGTCGGCGCTCTGTTGTCACTGAAGGTGGCACATGTACTTGGTACTTCTTTTTTGAGTTTTGTTCGTGGAGCTTGTGGTCACAGGGAGTGCTGCCGTGGGCTGTGGCCGTTCACATTCTTCACTGTAGCGCTCAAACCTCTTTGAAATTCGCCCGAGCAGCGGTGAAGTTGTTGTTTGTGGCTGCAGCACCTGAAAGAACAAGGACGAGAAGAAGGAAGGCGATGATGAAGAGAAGACAAAGGACGAAGCACCTTTGACCTTCAAATTTAAGGGCCAGGCAGAGGCCCTCCGGGGCAGGGCCTTTGTGCCAACTAGAACAGTGGCCGGACCTTTAAAGGCGGGTTTGCTAGTGGCTGCTTCTCAAGCAGCAGCTCTGCTGTGGACATGTGCCTCGCGAATTTGCCCTTAAGCTCAAACCTCGACAAAGGACCACGACCAGAAGAAGAAAAAGAAAGACAAGAAGGCTGGACACGGAGAGAAAACACCAGAATTCTGGCTTTGCTGTGCTGAGCTGCTGTCCGAAGGACGACCGCGACAGCAGTCGCAGCAGAAGTCGTAGCCGCAGCAGACATCGTCCAGCACCAAGCTGTGCAGAGCAGAAAGGATGCATTCTCACATTTCCCGAATTTTTACTGGTAATGGTCAGCGCGCCCTCGTAATGGTACCGCTCAGGAAGTCGCAGCCGCAGCCGCAGACGCAAGAAGCCCAGCACATCCCAGAACCATCGACATATTCCCTTGGTCATGCTGCACATGATCGTGGCTTGGTGTCTGAGGCCGGGGTAGCTCTCCAGATTGGGCCCGCTACAAGGCAGATCAGGCCCGGCATGGGAGCCAGTTGCTAAGAGCTTGCTGTTGCAGGGCTCCATGGACCCCAGCGAGATCGAGCGGCTGCGAGAAAAGGCGAGAGAAGAGGTCGGAGCCAGATCTCTTTTGCAAGGGTCCGTGGATCGTGCCCAGTTCATTCAGCGCATGCCCGAGGCAGTAGTCGGCGTGGGCAAGGCTTACTCCAAGAGACCGACCACAGTCGAGGGTGAGATGTGGCGGGGAAGCGGGCTGACAGCTTAGCCCCTTCCCACTTGCAATCACCTATCAACTATCCCAGTCAGTTTTCATCTTTTTGCAGCTCTCCACCTCCAACTGTAAAGCAACAAGGTCCGAAGGGCGCGTCTCCATGCTCGGCTCTCGTGACGGCTATGGTGGAGGCCCAAGAGTGCGAGTGCACGTCAGCTAGACTTCCCCTTGGGCTACAGTCACCAGGCTCTGCCCGATCTTCTGGCGCGAAGGGTTCCTCTGACACCGAGATTAGGAGCAGAATCTCGCGTGAAGAGGAAGAGGATCGCCTGCACCGCAAGCCTAGGCTGACCACACACCCCAAAATGACCTGTTTGTGGCAGGAGCACAAACGGCGGATGCGAGAGATCTATGAGAAGTACGGCTCTGTGTCCAGTCCTCATGACGCAAAGTCTGAGTTTAAGCGTTGCCAAATCATGCAACGTGGTGAAAAGCTCAGGTCAAAAGCCACATCCGGTAATACGGGGACACAGCGCACCTCAGAGATTGACCAGCCGGATGTGCTCCGCTTGGGCTGACCTCGTGCCGCGTGAAAAATCCCATAGGGTGACTGCCACGGGGTCTTCTGCCCAACGATGTCCAAGAATGCTTGCAGCACAGAGAATCACTGCTGAAGCTCGAGCTCGGTTGGTCTCTGGTTGGTACCCGATGTTAGTGGATGCGGGGGATTCTTGGGGTGCGCGCTTCACAAGCCAGGATCTGGGTCTACAGAAGCGACTCTTTGGGATTCCGAAGCTGGAGGACGAAGCGCTTTCGCTGTTGGAGTGCTCTTTTTCGGCCGCCTTTTTGGCAGGATGCGAACCTCGCCGGCACCAAGCGGTCTCGGGACTGCACCCTCATCATCACTGAAGGGGATTCGGCCAAGGCCCCTTTGCGACGCGGCTCTTAAAGCTGTAAGATGTATGCTTCCTTGTCACAGCAGATGCAGGCACTGGCGGTGGCCGGCTTGAGCATCGTAGGCGAGGGTTTTTGCAGGACTCTGCTGGAATTGGATGATGCCAGTAAAAAACTCGAAGCTCCAATCCAGAAAGTGCGGTTGTAGAGTTGCAGGTCCAATATTCGCGTTGCGCTTTCTCTCCTTCTCTCTCTTTCACTCTCTCTCGCTGTCTTTTTTGACTGCAAGGCCGGGACCACTATGGGGTCTTCCCTCTAAGAGGAAAGCTCAGGCGAGAGCTTCTTTGCCATTCTTTCCGCATCTTTCCGCTGCGCGACTCCTCCTTCTCTCCGGCAGGAACGTCAGGGAGCTGTCAGAGAAGCAGATGATGGACAACAAGGACGATTGGTGAATGGTCTCTCATCCAGTCTCTTTCTTCGGGCTTCTTATGTCTTGGGCACGAGGAGATCGAAGCCTTGATGAAGATCATGGCCTTAGATGCCTCCAAGAAGTACCAGGCATTTGGCATCTCATGTTGCTTTCAACATGAAAATGTCCCTTATATCGCTCGAAACGACAGTGCATCTTTACAGAATACACATGGTTCCAGAAGTTCCTGCGCCACTCGGCCGACAGCAAATAACGGAGTTCAAATGTTGCAGCCTGTTGCAGGATGCGAGCGGTTTGCGGTACGGCTCGGTCATGATCATGACGGACCAGGCGACTTAGATATTGAGCTTCAGACAGTAAGCAGAGCTGTTTTGCATGAGGCAACAGTCAGAAGCAGAGCTCTTAACGTTGAATGGCGATGGTCAGACGCTCCAAGGACTTCGACGGATCCCACATCAAGGGCCTTGTCATCAACTTCATTCAACACTGGTGCATGACCCTACTGCATGCAGTCACCATCAGTCGGCATGCGACCAATGCTCCTCAGGTTTCCAGGACTTCTCCAATGCGAAGGTTTTCTCCGCGAGTTCGTGACTCCAATCGTCAAGGCAGTTGTGAGTGAACCTGACCAACATGTTTCTCTGGCATCCGCAAGCACAGGTCTCCAAGAACGACGAGGTCTTGACCTTCTTCACAGCGCCCTGACGAAGAAGAAGAAGAATAAGAAGAAGAAGACGAAGAAGAAGAATAGCAAAAAAACAAGGAGAAAAGAAGAAGAAGAAGCAGAGAAAAGCTCAGTGACCAAGTTCAGACATCTCTTGTTTTTGAGATCTTTCCTGTGACTGAGGTGCCCGAGTACGAAGCTTGGAAGCGGGCCAACGATGGCGGCAGAGGGTTTGTCTGGCACGTTTGAAGGCATCTTCTTAGGGCAGATGACGCTTTTTAAATGCCTCTCTCTCTGTGGCACGTGTTGTCTTCTACAGTTGAGCGGTTGCATCTCATTGTGCATTGTGCAGAGCCGTCACAGTCGCTGTATCAGTACCCCCGCACTTCGACAGTTCAGACAGAGCCGACGGGCGCCCAGAAATCAGGTTTATAGGCACAAACAGCACTCGTCGTCCATGCGCTCACAGCTACAGTTTCTACCAAGAAGGCTGCAAGCGTTTGCAGTCGTCTGCGTTGCCATTGCAACCAGCATGGGCCAATCCTGTTGTTGCGGCCGCGAAAAAGCCGAGCCGTCTTTCGAAACGTGCTCGAAGTTTGCGGCGATGCCGCCAACAGAAGGCGCATAGTCTGCAGAAGCAATGCGCTCACAAGTTTTTTGTTGGTTTCGAGAGCTGGGCCTGAAAAGAACTCTAAGCTGACGACTGAGATGTTCTTAAGCCTTGTCTCGAAAGGGATGTGTGTGTGTGTGTGTGTTGACGATGATTGCGACGTCTCCGGCTCAGGTCAAACCTCCCAGCAGAGGGAGTTTGATCCAAAAAACGAAGAATTTGAATTGATCGCGGAGACAGACTTGCTCCCCAGTGATGCCATTACCAACGGCGAGATGCAGCTCCCGGCCAACCAGTCATGCGGGACGTTTACGCGCCGGTTTCAGGAGTGCACGTGCAAGGGCACATGATGCGGTGCGTGTTTTTTTTTCTATATATATATATGTATGTATATGTATATATATATATATATAGTGTGTGTGTGTGTGTGTGTGGGGGTGTGCGGGCGTGTGTGTACGCGCGTGTGTTTGGGCGTGTGCTTGTGTGTGTGTGTGTGTCTCTGTGTTGGTGTGTCTGTCTCTGTGTCTGTCTCTGTGTGTGTGTGTGTGTGTTTCCTAGTCCTAGCGTTCTTGTCCCGTCTTAATGCTTCCTTTGGCCATGCACTCGTGAACCTCGACATCAAGTACCTTGACGTACTAGATGGCCTACAGGCATACAGAGTCATACGCGGATGTATTCGTACCAATTAGTACACGCAATGCACGCAATGGCAACCTTGAAGGACCCTCCCCCCCTCCAACCCGTGCGGTGTTGGGAGGATCTCGACACTGCGGACCAGCAAATAATCGCGACGAGATTCGACAGGCGTTTGGAAACGACCAACTCAGAGGATCCCAAGGAGCGCTCTGAGTACCGGCAGCGCAAAGCCGCAGAGGTGCGAGGCTGGACCTGGGGTCTCTGCAGAAACAGTTGCTTTGTGCAATCAGTTCTTTGATCGAGGGTTCACGGTGACTCTGGTGACGACCGGAGCGTTTTGTTTGTACGGGCCCGTGGACCAAAAGTCACATTCGGGGGACGAAAGGGCCAAAGCACGCACTAGGAATACATGGCCGTGTTCTATAGCAATACAGTAGCCTTCTCCTGCGAAAGCACTTCCCAAAGACCGACAGTGACCCTTTGCAGCGGTTTCCCAATGTCCTCGTCTCTTGACAGCCCCCAAATCTTCCAGTTGCAGGCATCATGCAAGCAGCCATGGCGGCCGCTGAGAATGCCCGCAGCTCCGCATCTGCGGAGTGACTGGGAGCCCCTTCTGGCAGCTCTGTGAGTGTTTTTTCGCTCGGGAATCTCCAGATGAGCATAGGGGTTTGTGGACCTACAGCTTGACACCTCCTGAATCCTGACTCAGTATCACCCGTTCATTGGGCAGTCCTGGCACCTACTCTTTTGGAGACCCGAAAGCAAGAATACTTCATTTCGCCTCTCTCGCGTGGACCATGGCAAAACTCCCAATTGTGACAAATTCTTGCACAATCCTCATGGTAGTAGCTTCAAAAGACTGCAGAGCGAGGAGAGTGATTTCTCAAATTTTTCGAGGATGCAGCAACATTTGAAGAGCTGCAACAAAACAAAAACTGGTGCCGTCTGCGCCATCATCACCTCTGCGGGGTGGCGGGTGGCATGCTTGAGGATGCAGAAGCTTGTCTGAAGAAAAAGATCCCAAGATCGAAGGTGGGATCTCGAAACAGGGATGACCACTATCCAGCTGCAGACACGTCCTGAAACCCTAAACCCGAAACCCTAAAGCTAGGTTTGGGGTGTTCGGCGAGGTGGGCTTACAAGTACTACAAGGGCCTCGGAACCAGCACCTCCGCAGAGGCACGTGCATCTTTTTTGTTTGATTTGCTACTTTTTTCAGGGTTGGGGATTGGTTTCATAGGGCTCCAGAATGATGTTGGTCCAGGCTCGCGAATACTTCTCGGACTTGGAACGCCACGAGCTCACCTTCCTGTCCGGCGAGAAGGCGCCTTTCAGACCAGGTGCCAAATCAACCTGACGGTTTCCATTGGCATGACCTGCCGGATGCTGTAGGATGATGACCTCATTGACATGGCCTTCAACACCAAGAAGGCAGACGCGCGGAAGGAGCCCCGCTTTGGGTGTGAGGAGCTTGGGACATGTAGGGTCGTCTTGCCAAACGTCCTGTGACGAACGCCACAACCATGCTCTCGCCGCACTGCCAGCTCGCTGTACACGCTGTCAGCATCCAAGAGTCAGGGGTGCTTGAATGTTCGATCACAAGTTTCAAAAGGAACATGAGGCCTTCTGCGAAGGCAGACATCTTTAGCAAAGTCAGTCGCAGCACGCTGTGACACTTGATCTTGTCATGCCATGGATACCGTGAGTGGCCTTGGAAGCGTCTACAAGCAATTGGCGCAGACGCAGCCTGACGATCCAGCTGTGTTGGACAAAGCCGGCACCTGGAGCTACGCGCAGTTGTGGGATGTTGCGGGACGCATCTCCAGCTTCTTCGCCGCCAGAGGTTTGCATCGTGGTTCGCAGGCCTCTCCGAAGGAATTCGCCCCAAGACCTATTGCGATTTTTCTGAGACAAGGTCGGGAGTGGTATGCAACTTGCATTGCAGCATGGCTGTTAGGCATACCCGTTGTTGCGTTGAGCAACGATCTTCCAAGTGGGAAAGCTGAAGCTGAGAGGGTTGCGCGGGTCGCGAGAGAGCTGCGGCCACTGGCCCTGATCTCGGACGATTCTGCATTCGAAGTCCCAGGTTTGCCGGCTGACTGTTTGAGGCTCTCGCTGGAAGATGTGCGAAGAGCGTTGGCAGACCCTGCACATGCAAGCGCGAACTTGACGGCGGATGTGTCTCCAACATCGGTGCTGTGCTATGTTTTCACTGGCGGGACGACGCGCCACAGCAAGTGTGTAGCAGTGACCCACGGAATGGCCTTGTGGGAGATACAACACTACAAGACGGCCTTGCGGGGGTTGGCAGGCAAGAATGACAGGATGCTGCAGTACTCGTCGGCCTACTGGGGTGCGGCGATCTTCGGGCAAGCGGATCTTGCCTTGGCCTTTGGTGCATGCAACGTGATCATCCGGGCCAACGGGCCCGAGGAGATTGCCGACATCTGCTCCAAGTACCAGGTTTCGGTCTTGGGCATCGTTCCTTCTCAGTTGCGCGGAGCTTGGCCTGGTGGAGCAAGCACAAGGCCAAGAAGCCTAAGAGTACTCGTCGCATGGGCGGAGAAGCTTCAACCCAAGTTGGCCAAGGAATGGCTTCGGCACCTGCCGGTCATCGAGTTGCTCATTGCCTCTGAGTATTGGCTCTGTCTTTCATCGACTTGCCAGATATGGAGGGATCCCGTCGACGGCATGGAGCGTCATGTTCTGGAACCTCTGCCTGAGCTGGATTTCAAGCTGCTGAAGGAAGATGGCTTGGAGGCACAAGAGCAAGAGAGTGGTGAATTGTTCTTAGCTGGCCCGACGGTGTTTGCGGGCTACGTGGGTGCGGACGGCAGACTCGGTTGTACGAGCTTTCAGCACTTTAATGCGAAGCAGTACTACGGTACCCGGGATCGTCTCAAGCGGGTGCCTGGTGGTCTCGTTTACCTGGGCCGAACAGACTCGTTGACAAAGGCTGGTGGTGCGTGGCAGGATCTCGAAGCCGTCGAGACCGCGGCCGCCGAAGACACTTGGCAGACTCGGCAGTGGCAAGGGTTAGCAAGTCGCAGAGACGGGTGATGACGGGATGGCGGTGTGATTTCTGGCTCCTGTAGGTTCTATGCCTGGCTTGGGCTTGGCAGTGCACCCAACTCTCGCATGTAACCGCGGCACATGTGATTCCCGCGTAGCTCATGCCCAGGCCAGGGCAGGTTCGTTGCGGTGCGAGTTTTTTGCCTAACAGGAGGGCTCCCAGCCACGAGGCGGTCATTTTATGTCTGAGAGGAGCTCGGAAACAGGCCACTAGGACAAGAAAAAACGCCTTCGCCCGCTGCGGGTTGGCAGGCTGCATTGCGTTTTCAAATCAAGGGCACAGTCCTTGTTTTTTCAACTTTGGCAGGGGATTGCAGGCTTCGCATGCAGTCCTTTGCAAAAGTTGCCTCAAGAAACCATAAGAAGTCCGCTGGAGGCCTCGGTGGGTCGGAGCACTCCAATGATTGCTGAAAGCACCTGGAAACTACAAACAACAAATAAAGCTAGACACCTTCAGTTTCAAAATGGTGGATTGGTCTTGGCAAGCCAAGGTTCCTGGTGTTTCGGCAGCAGCTCTTGTAGCCTGCGACGGAAGCACAGACGCCTACTTGGTCTTGGAAGACACACGTGATGCCGCTGGACATGCTCGGGAGGGGTCGCCGCTGAACGTGGTGCTTGACAGGGCCATGCAGAAGTTGAAGCCCGTCACCACCTCAAGACCTCACATCTGGGCACGGCTGCCTTTGCATCCGGCCACCAGCAAAGTGAATCGTCAGGAGCTTCTTGCACAGAGTAGTGATCGTGCTGCGCGCGAGACGCAGTGGCATGAGAAGCTGCAGAGCCTTCAGCGGCGGATGCTAAGAGGCTACGCGGCATGGCATGCCTTGCTTGCGGTGCTGATGCTCTTCCGAGCCTGCCTGGACCTGACTTCGTCTCTCACGGGGTCGCTGACGGCCTCAGACCTGCTGCGGCAGCCTTGGCTTTCCCTGGTGTTTTGCTCTCTCTGCTTAGAATCTTCACGCTGCGTGAGTCTTGAGATGGCCGAGGTTCGACCTGCTGGCTCGGGCCATCCTTCTGCCGTATGCATGGGGAGCGACTTGGGTCAACATGGGCCCTTTGCAGGTCAAAGCCGAGAGGTTTCAGGGGGCTCATGTCTCAGAATTGAGACCTTTGACTAAGGTGCTCCTCTATGTCTGGTATGGCACCAGCAAGAAGGCCTCGCAGGGCTGGCATTGGCAAGCAGTGTATGGTAAGGTTTGCGCGGCAAGTGGAATCTGAACCTCCGCGTGTGCTCCCGCGCAGAACCGCATGTGGGTAACGAATGAAATGCCGCTGGGACCGCCGGATCTGCTAATCTTCCTCGTGCTTGCCGCAACCTTGGGAGTGTATAGTCTGCTTGCGGATTGAGTGACGATGGGGGATCTTCACCAAGTTTCCCGGGTTAGTATCGAGGCTCCGCCAGCATGGCTTCTGTGGCCGGCGGTCCTCCTAGCTGCTTCAGTGCTGGCATCTTAGTGGGCGATAGGCTTTGTACGGCAGGCAAAAGACTCATGCAGCTGCCACGTTCTGGGAGTTTATAGCTGTTATGGCTCAATGTTAATGTGAGTGATGGAAGTCTACTTCAGTGATGTGACCATGCAGAACCCTCAGTGAGAGACTGTCCCCGCACGATGTTTGTCTGTGCCATTCATGTGGAAGATCTGCATTCGTGCCCTCAATGAGCATGGGGCAGCATGCCCCGCATTCACAGTGCTTCATGTCGACTGCCACCGGCAGCGCTGTGGGTGGTCTGGGTGCCTTGCACATTTCAGGATCCTCAACTACTGGTAGAAGAGAGGTAATTGGTGTCGTAGTGTCTACGTAGGGCTCTGCGTTGCTCTGTGTGTCATGTTATTGTTCAAGACCACTGCCTCTGCGGCCCAGGTTTTTACCTCATTCCAGCTGTGCAGGCGGCAGTTCTCCAGCGTCTGGCATAGTGATGCCATGATACCTCGTCTTGGACGGCCTGGACGGGTGGCTGGGAAGGCAGACCGCCAAGCATGACAGAGCTTGAGAGGGTGAAAAGACTCTAATTTGACACAAGAAACTACTGCGGAACGCTGACATTGTAAGCTTGGGCTGGGAGACACTCGATAAGACTCGGAATCTCCGAGATGCTCAGGTCCGTCGATGTGCCCAGGCAGTGCAACCTCAACCAACAGCTTCCGGTGAGCCTGTTGTGCTTGATCGCCTGTGCCGTGGGTGGTGTCTCGGCCTCACTCTTCCGAGTTGTGATTTCCGAGAAGCAAGCTGCCTTGAACACCATCGATCGGGTAAATGCATGCAAGTCAACATCGACAGTGATATAATTGATGTAGCATGACAAGGCCGTTCAGCGCATGCTTGCACCTCCATGGATTGACCATGCGGAGGCCTAGAGTCTTAGAGCGCTTGTGCGGCAGGTCCATCCACCAGGTGCGCAGCGGCTACCGCTTCAATGGCGACGACATCCTGCTTGCGCGGGAAGCCTGGCGTGCAGCCCCCAAAGCGCGGCATCTGCTGGACCTGGGGGTGGCTGGGCCGCAGGGCCGGGGCAGGTTCTCAGCAGGGATGTGTTGCTGATACGGAGGTCTTCAAGCCCTATAACCCTAGAAAGCCCTAAGCCCTAAACCCGAAGCATCTTTCATGTCTGCCGTGTGCTCCAATGGTCCAAGGCGGGAACTGGATCGGTTGGCCTCTTCTGGCTTGCCCAACAGCCAGACCAGTCGCGCCTGACAGCTGTGGAGGCGGGACTGGCCTCTTGTAGATCTCAAGCCTGCTTGCAGCTCTTAACAACATCTTCGAGCTGTGCAGGCGCAGGAGGAGAGCACCGAACTCATGAACCGAAGTGTGCAACTCCTGGGCTTGCAGCCACGAGTTCGCATCATCCACGGGGATCTGCGGGATGAAGGTCGCCTGAGAGTTGAGCTTTCTGCAGCAGTCTGCTCACGTGGATGCTGTGGTACAGGCATCGTGCAGGGCTTCCGGGCGCAGTTCGACTTGGTTACCGCCAACCCGCCGTATATCCTTCCTGGAGACAGGACGAAGGGAGAGGAACTTCAATATTGATGCAATGCCGGGTTTCGACCTTCTGCAGGAAGCTGCCGGCCCACAGTCAGCGCAGGTATTGCTACTACGAGCTGCGGGGTGGGCCCCGTGAGTTTGCCCAGACTGCATCGAGGGCGCTGACCGATGAGGGCAAGTTCTGCATGGTGCACGCCCCTCCTTCTGCATCCTTCGTAAACCCGGTTGCTTTCCCATAGTTCCCCGCAGTTCCCCTAAACCCTAAACCCTAAACCCTAAACCCTAAACCCTAAACCCTAAACCCTAAACCCTAAACCCTGAACCCTAAACCCTAAACCCTAAACCCTAAACCCTAAACCCTAAACCCTAAACCCTAAACCCTAAACCCTAAACCCTCGTGGCGCAGGTTGCCTCCCGCAGCTCGGATGTGGACCGAGCGCTGGTGGATGTGGGCCTGAAGACGGTGAGGCGGCTCACTGCATTCTCAAGAGGAGAGCCGATGCTCGGGGCAAATTGAGCTCGCTGAGCCCGGCAATGCCCGGTAATGCCCTGCAATACACTGCTTGCAAATGCTTCCTCCTGTAGGGCGTGGCCTTGCAACCTTCAGACGCCACTAACGCAGCAGATCAAAGGAAGTGGCAAGTGCTGGTTTGCAGCCGATCGCCTTCGGAAACTGCAGTGGACGAAGAGGAGTTGATCGTTTCCGGGCAGCACCCACTAAGTTCCTGATGTACCGCTTTTTCTTGCGCCTTTGCGAACACAAGGTCCGAGACGAGTCGGGGAGGTGGACCAAGGATTGGGACGCGATCTGCCTTGAGATGGGTGCCTTTCAGAAGCTCGAGTGGAAAGAGCAGGAAAGGAAAAAAGAGCACTCACACATGAGCTTCATGGGTTCAGTATGTTCCTTCAATGTCTTGTCCACGCCAAACTCGCTCCCGGTTCGACACAGTGACAAGCCTTGCATTGCCTTGCATGGCCTTGAGATGCCTTAAGCCACTCTCTCCACTTGGTGTGTTTGAACATGTTTGAAACCCAAGCCCTCGGACTTAGGTTGTCGTGGCTTCGAGACCGGGATGCTTTTGCGGTGGCAACTGCGCTGGTCCAGTACTTGTGCGGACAGCATGAAGCAACAGCTGATGTGATCCAGAATCAAGTGTCTGTTCTTGCGTTGACTTGCGCAGACATCGGCCGCATCGTATCACAGATGACCTAGGTGCTGTGCACGGGGAACATTCACATCGGCCTGCTTCTTCTCGGCATCTTAGGCCTCGCTGACCTCTCCAGATTCTCCAAATCCTCCCGCTTCTTGCTTCGAAGCAGCGGCCACCATGTGATGTGCGATGGGAGGCTTGTACTCGCAGAGACCCAGCAGGCCCGCTGGGGCAGGGCAGGAGAGGGCAGTGCGTGGCCGAACCTGTCTCGGGCAGCCATGGGCTTCTGAGGGTGCGCTTTCTGCTGAGCTTGCCCGTCGCGTACGTCTTGAGCCTTACTTCGACTCGCGGAGGAGTCGACACATGAGAAAGCAGTGTGTCGAAAAGCGTGTGGACTGTCGTGTGGATATCCTGAGGTCCTTGTCTTTCCCAAGTGGTGCAGGGATGAGCCTCGGACATCAAGTGATTGCTTTTGTTTTTCTTTCGAGTGCCAATCTGTGCAGTTTGGGGTAGCGAAGGAGTTCATCTCCAGATCGACATGGGATAGCTCGTACCTTCGTCCAAGACCCAGCTTTTTTCTTTGCTCCGTTCGCTCATATGCGGGATGCGACTGCCATGGCTTCCAGGTCGACTGGTGCTCCGTTGCGTGCCCCCCCCCCCCAACTTGCCTCCCATTAGCCTGGCGTCCGCCCTAAACCCTAAACCCTAAAACCCTAAAACCCTAAACCCCTAAAACCCTAAAACCCTAAACCCTAAACCCTAAACCCTAAACCTAAACCCCTTAAACCCCTAAAACCCCAAACCCTAAACCCCAAAAACCCTAAACCCTAAAACCCTTGTCAGGTACCGGTTCTGCAGAAGCCACGCTTCGATGGGAGCCTCTCTTTCCGGAAGCACATGGTCGCCTACGACTGGGGCTCCGAAGACAGGTGCCCCTTGAGCTCATCCTGGGGGTTTCCGAACATGGGCGGTACCCTTTGTGCAGTGGTTCCTCTAAGAAGGACTATACCATTTTGGGGTATATTGAGGGTACCCCCCTGTTTTTGGAAGTACCCACCTGAGCTTCCTACGCAGAGACACCACGGAGGGACGGAGAGAGTTCGAGAGAGCTCTTGGAGAGATAGCAGTGATAGCACTCTCTCGACTCTGGCCTCGAGGTGGGTAAATGTGTACCTCGAGGGGACGGAGAAGGATGATCTGTCTAAAGTCGGTTTGTGGGAGCCGGTGCGGCCGGCTGTACTCCCACCGACACGCACGCAGGCAGGCGGGAAACTTCAGGAAAAGAGCTGCTTTGGGCATCATTGAGCCGCGTACTTGCAAAATGCTGCAGAAGATGCTTGACTCGCAGGATCAGGGAGATCTCAGCAACGGGACTGCAACCGGCGCAGGTGCTTTCCAGGGTGCTCATAGCAGAGGTTTTATTGCTTGGCCTGGGGGGCTCTACTTTTGCCAGGAGCTGCGCCTGACTCCAGTCTCTCCGGCCTGGAAGGAGCGCTCGCGGTCCTTGTGGAGCGTGTGGGTGGAACACCTCCGAGCCTGACGTCCTTGGAGTCTCTGTGACTTAGCTAACTAACTTGGAAGCATGCTGAAAGATTGTTGCGAAAGGTCCTAGACATTCTGCCCAGGGAGCTCTCAGAATTTCCGCTCCGAGGCAGAGCATTCGCTTGGTTGAGCTGCTGCGGCGCGAGCTGGGAATGGTGGCTACCTCGGCCATGGTCCTCCGCTGCCCGGACGTCGAGGCCCTCGCCCGAGCCCTCCAGGAGGCAGAGGGGCCCAACGCTGCCAGCCAGGACCGGCCACGCCTGGGCAAGAGATTTTGTGGATGATGACTCGAGATGATTGCCTGAGTATAGGATAGTACAGGGTAGTACGGGGCATCCATATGTTTCTTATGATTGGTGCCTTCCTGGGAGGATGGTTTCCAGCCAGACGAAGAGGGTGCTTACAGGTTATACTTCATGGAGTTTGGGAAGTCTCCCGTGGACTGGCACCCGCCTCAGTGAACCGCGTCAGGATGCCTCGGCTTGTGGGCGTGTCGCTGTCTCCGAGGTGTGTCCGATATGGGGGCCCAGGCCACCTCGACCTGGATGCCCTTCAGAGAGCCTCCGATCGGGTGGTGGCCCGGCACTCCGCCTTGCGCACGACGCAGAGCCGAGACGAGGCAATGCGAGAAGCCATGGACCGTGCTGGGGCAATGTGGCAGCCCCTCGTATGCAGATTACATGAGCTGTGGAGGTACTTAAAGGCTTGCGGAGCTAGAGGTGCTTCTTGGGATTGGAACTGGTGTGTTGTGTGTTCTTGCTGCTGAGGCTTGTTTGCTCCGCCTACGGGACTTCGAGCTGGAAGTGGTCCGCCGCTCGCAGCATCATGGGTGCCGTGCTTTTTGCTGCCTGGCCGCGGACGATGCTGAACTCCCCAGAACATGCTCGGGTCCAGGCGGCAGGGGAGAACAGCAAAGCCACACACATCCACTTTTGCATCGGCCCAACGTGCGGCAGGTTCGACTGCCAGATCCGGAGCTTGTTGTCCGGGATCCAAAGTACGTCAATCTCAGCGCCATGCCCGCATACGGGTCGAGAACATCCCAGAAATCCTTCCATGCCTTCCAGAGAGAGAGAGAGAGAGTGAGAGAGAGTGCTTAGAGTGCTTGAAAGCTTTCAGATGCCTTCCCGTTCGTCTCAGAAAGGTGATGCTGATTACATGTTCTGGATTGCAGCACCGCTTCGCAATCAGTATTGGCCCTATCAGATCTGTGCCGTCCCAGTGATCCGGAAAGGCAGGGTTCGCCTCATCGAATTTCTCATCGGCTCCACGTCGCTCATACTGTCATACAGTAGGATATCGGCAGCCTTCATCCAGAGCTCCTCGTCGCTGCCAGGCACCCTCCCCGCCGGGATGCCTGTGGCACAGGCCGCACGCACGTTGCCGCCGGAGGATGTGACCTGGTTCATTCATGCCGGAATCACCCACGCGCACCTTGCCTGCAAGAGCAAGCGCCTGCTACAAGAACGGACGCTTTGCCTGGGTGCGCAGGGTGCCTCACTCCCTATCCAAGTCTTCTTTGCCCTTCTTTCCGAGACTTTTCCGAGTCTGTGAGGTACTCGGATGGGGCATCGGGCAATGCTCTCCTGACGGACTTGATGCGCATCTATGCTGAGGAGCCTCAGACCGGTGCGATCACAGGTAGATGCAGACATGATGTGGGGGGGTTACGAGAATGGGGGGTACCTTTTTTGGGGGGGTTACGAGAATAAGGGGTACCTTTTTTGGGGGTTCCGATACTGCGGATTTTGTTATTTCGGGGTTTATAAAGGGTACGTCTATTGGGGGAAATACCCATACGCAGCAGCGTGGGATGTGCAGGAGGCAGGGCTGTGTGCCCGACCGCCTGTGGAGCCGCCTGCTCCACCAGAGCATCTGGCTGCTCAGTTGCAAACCCAAAAATCCCTAAACCCTAAACCCTATAATTACTAAGCACAGGTGCCTGCTTTTCACGAATTTTTTAGGATTTGTGGATGTCTGCACTCGTGAGGCCCTGCTGCAACATCGGTTGAGGCGATCCCTCGTTGGCCGGCTGAGAGGGGAAGACAATGCCAATGATGACGTGTACCACGAGAGCCTCGCTTACACGGAGAAGTCATGTTGGTGCCTTAAGACCCTAAGCTCCATAAACTCTAAACCCTATAGTATGCCGTACACGCCCCCCACAGAAACCCGAGCATGCGAGGATCGTTTGCGAAGACTGGGGCAGACGGCCGGGCTTCTCGAAGCGACCTGGCTGCTGCAACAGCATGGCTCCAAACTCTGGGGCATGTTCTGGGGATCCATTTTTAGGGCATCCGTTATGCAACTTGCCTTGAATGTGGTCCTGTATATAGAACAACTTGCCCAGGAGAATAAAGCTGGAACCCCCGATCATGAACGCTTTGCGCCTGGATCTCAGACTGCATTGCTTCATTCATTGGCTCTCGGTCTCGGGTTTAAGCCGGCTTTGGCACAACTCAGATGTTGCCGCCTCCAGCGTGATCGGCTGCAGTATCGACATTGCGGAGACCTCAGATTGGAACACCATGAGCTGGGCAGGGGGCTCATAGAAAAGCATGTCTGGCATCAGGCGTGGCTGGCGGCTGTTGTTGGCAGGCTGAGCCCCAGCAATTGCATCCTACTCGTATCGCATTGCTGTGAACTTTTGTGTCCTTCCGCGCTGTCGAACTCCAGCTGCTTGCTGACTGCAACCGCTGAGTCTTCTGCGGCTCTTTCCGGACCAGCATCGCTTCCAGCTGATTCTGAAGTGTGCGTGCCCATGCCTCAAACGTTGGGTCGACATCGTTTCATGTTTGCAGACGTTGAAAGTTGAAGAGCGGTCCATGGCCAAAGAGCTGTCAGACGTTGTGTGACCGAGACAGGCCGTGATGGGCCGGGACAGAATGAGATGGTGGGTTTCCTGTCAGAGTCATCAGCTCGGCAGGCGTCTGCAGCCACCTTGTTCGGAAGAGATCTTCTATAGACTCTACTGAAGATGTCTTCCTTGCTGTTTGGCTGCGCTCAGTGTGGTGATCTCTAAGGCAGCGCGTTTTCCCAGTTGATGTCGGAGACTCCCGCCACGTCATGGGCTTGCAGTGCATGCGAAGGGTGGAACGAGTTGTAGCTGGGGTTTCCGAAAATGGGGTACCTTCTTGGGGATCCTTATTATAAGGGGATCCTACCATTTCCAGCTGAACGTCAGTTTTGCCGAGGCGACCTTGATGGACGTGGTCTGCGCGATCGAGAGTGTGCTTGACTCGACTTCCGTTGAGACCCATGTCACGGCACGTTCGTCTTGGCTGCACGTTCCCATGACACTGATCACAGCAGCGGCCATGGTCATGATGGTTGCATGCTCTGGATTTGTTCCGGGGCAGGTCCGACGTGCTCGGACATGGCGAGCTCCGGTGCCTTTCGAGGCATGACATGGCAATACTCCACTTTTGGCACCGGCACACCCACTATGCTGACGTTTTCCACCTGATGCCAGGCTGGCATTTGTGCCGCCTGGACGAACTTGCTGACAGAACGGTTAGTTTTTCATGCACGAGCATCAAGCGATCACGTCAAGCATGTTACATCAGTGGATCAGGCAGCTCCTGATTACCAAGGTTTACGTGAATATCGTTGGATCAATGACGGATGGCCTACCCGTGGAGTGCTCGCAGGCAGAATGCCCATGGCCATGTCGAGGACAGTGTATGTCGTGACTGTATGTTAGGTCGTCCGAGCTGCGACAGGAACATCCAGTCAGGCATTCGTCTCAGCTTGTCTGGTCAGTCTTTCGACAGAAGATGCCTTGCGGAGTTGTGCCCAGACCGAAGCATACGCGCACCTGAACCTGCGGCCGCGAGCTATGCCGACCTAGGGATTAGGGTATTTAGGGTTCAGGGTTTAGGGTAGTTTTGTGTCATGCACTGGGTTGAACCTCTCGTGCCAAACAAAAGACAAGGCTTGATCAGCTCTCACAACGAGACTGGGACTTCCGGATCTTCCACTGGGACAAAGCATGGGGCATTCTCCCCAGCTGTCCTGGATATTCCTGGCGCCTATATTGTCAAGCGCACACCCTAAAAACCCTGCAAAATAAAACCCTCTAAGACCTTCTGAACCCCCCCCGACAACCCTCAAAAAAAACCCAAGGCTGGAGCTGGTGCTCTGAGTTTGCTCCGGTGCTGGCAGCTGTGATCGCAGACATGGCAGAGCACCTCGACGGGAAATACTCTGCGGGTTTAGGGCTTAGGGTAAACTCTACTCCCCCAGAAGGGACCTTAAAAAGGGTATACCTGTATGCCTATATGACGTATGCAACGAACCTGACATAGTCGGGGCCATTTTTTGTTTGGTTGGGGTGGGGGCGGGGGGGGGCGGACTTCATCAGCAGGAGAAAGGCGAGAGTAGGGCGAGAGGATGGACCAATGTTAGGCCTTAATTGGGCTTATAAATAGCACCCCCCAATTCTGAAAATCCCTATGAAGGACTGCTAGTGTAAGGGGGAATATCC